CGAGCCCTTGAGATGCACCGAGCCTCGGATGCACTTGACGTTACCGAGGACAGCTTGAATGAGCGACGACTTGCCAGCGCCGACGCGGCCGACGACCGCAACGAGCGACGGCTGCGTGAGGCGCAGCGAAATGTTGCGCAGAACGACCGCGTCGTCGGTGGCCTCTTCTTCGTAGCTGAACGCCGCCGACTCGAGGGTGATGCCGGGCGACGTGAGAGGACCGGGCGTCACCGGCACGTACTCGGCGCGGTGGAGAAACGCTTCGAGGCGGTCGAAGCTCACTTGGGCCTCGATGAGTGCTGTGATGGCGGCCGGAAAGTTGATGAGCGGGTACCGAACGTTCTCGAACAGCGCGATGCTGGTCAGCGCCGTGCCGAGGTCCAGCGAGTGGCCGAGGTAGACGTACAAGCCAAAGGCGGCGATCGTGACGACGGACGGCACGGCGTTGAAGATGGTGTACCCATATGCCTTGGCGGTGACGTACCGACGCAGCTGTGCGAGCTCGCTCTCCCGGTGGTCCAGAATGCGGGCAAAGAACGATGTTTCCCAGGCCTGGAGTTTGAGCACCTTGATGCCGGTGAGCACTTCGAGAATCGCCTTCAAGCGCGAGTCCTTGACCGTCATGAGCGGGCCCTGGCATGTGCGCATGTAGCTCGTCATGGCCGACGTCATCGGAATCAGCACGCAGAGGACGCCGACACCGCCGAGGAACGCAACACCGAGCTCGTTGTACATGAGAACGCTCGTGACTGCGATCTGCAGGGGCGTGTACCACAGACTGTGCGCCGAGTTGACAATTTCCTGGAGCCGCGTCGCGTCGACGCTGATGAGCGTCGCAACTTCCCCCGTTGACGCTGTCGAGGCGAGCACGAGCGCCTTGTCGTAGACGGCCATGACGACGGCCGACCGAAGCCGCAGCCCCACTTCGTAGCAAACGTAATAGTACTGCCGAAGCGCGAGCGACTGCAAAATGCCAGACACAAACACGGCCAGCGTGTAGTACAACCCAATCTCGAGTGGCCCCGACGGGTCGCCAAGATATGCGACGAGGTGCTTGATCAAGATAGGTCCAATGAACTGGAACGCCAGATGAAAGACCTTGAGAACGCCCGCGACGACGACCGGTCGCGAGTACCCGCGGGAAAAGGCGCGCCAGAGCTTGGGCGGTGACGAATGCGCACGCTCGAGCGCCCACTGCGCATGGAAGACGCTGGCAGCGGTCGTCGCGCGGTCCGCGGGGTTGAGTAAAAAGAGGTCGTCAAACTCGAGCCGGCGGGCGTTGCCAAGGTTGAGCAGCGGCGTGAGCCACGAAAAGAAGATGACGCTCCATGGGCCGCTTACGTCTGCGGGGCAGCGGTCGCTCAGGGGCGACGGCCCCAGCAGGCGTCGGTGCTCTGAGGATCCCATCCGTCGTCCGGAAATGGCACAATGAGATTGCACTATCTCGACTCCGTGGGATCGTGGCCAATCGGCGAGCTGTATCCACCTCTTTACAAATTTCAAAGTATTTTTATTCAAATGCAAAAAATGCCAAAGATATCATCGACTACGTCAACGATGGCTCCGATGTGGCGCGTCAGCTGGGCCCACCGTCGACCGCCCATCGGCAGAGCTCATCCATCAGTGATGGATGAGCTCTGCATACGAGCCGCCAATATGCCGAGCGACCTTCATTCACCGGACGCTGCTACGCCACCGACGTGACTGCATCTACCCGTCTGTGACCATACGATTCAAGGATACATTTCCTAACCCAACCACAAGAGCATAGAAACACCACTGCATCTGTCGTGGCTCAGCGCAGTACAAAGCTGACAAGGCTGTACGCAAACAATCACGTGTTCGATTACTGTATGTATTATAGCACAAACAACCGGGCCCTTGGTCTGGCAGCCACCAGCTTCTTGAAAAAGGTACGTCAGCCAAGATGGGTCTCGGCGCTAGCATCGGCGGGAACATAGTTTGACGACGTCAGTCTTGTGTGAATTGCTGGTTGCTGCCAGTCGTCATAACATCGTCAGACCCGTCACGCGCCAAACCATCGAGAGTTTATGACAGCAACCACGTCACTACTACGCTGCACGACAGCGTCATCTTGACGTATCCCGCAAGTGTGCGATGGCTGGCAGTGTGTCGTTGCGTGATGCCGATGGCTGATGCTGACCAAAAGCATACAGCTACATTGACCATAGGTAAAGACAAGTTGTCTTGATTTATTTGGACACGGCAAACGAGACCTTGGACGTGAGCGTGGGCGAATTGTTGTACGTGGCGTGCGCGCCATAGTCGTTCTTCTCGATCGTGCGGTGAAGGACTTTGAGGAACGTTTCGTACTGCACGGTCGTGCCTTTGGTTTTGAACTGGAGCCGAATGAACGTGTTGAACTTGTTCTTGGAAAACTTGAAGCCGTAGCGCTTTATCGTGCGGCGGAGGACGTCGATCTCAATGTAGCCAGAGTGCTTGTCGTCGTGGAGCTTGAGCTCGTCTTGCATGTCTTCGAGCGACTTGAGGTGCGTCGCCGTGTACTTGACGAGCGCGGCGACCATCTTCTCTTGGATTTCGAGCACTTCGGTGAAATGCTCGACCGAGCGCTTGAGCTCGGCAGCGTTGACGCGGACGGTCGCGTTCACGAGCGCCATGCGGCCGACAATGCGCGGGCCAAAGATGGCCGAGTTGACGCCCAGCGCCAAGGTGAGCGCGAGTAGGATCACAGGATACCAGATCTGGGTCGGGTACGCGATCGATGGCCGCAGAATCGTAAAGAAGCTCTGGAGCACGAGCGCAAAATACATGGCGTTCATGTTGAGGAGGAGCTTGATGAAGACGTGGAGGAGCTTGCGGGAAAAGAAGGGCAAGTGGAGCTTGGCGATCTGCAGCTTGGGGTCCCGCGTGTGCTGGCGGCCCGTGACTTTGCGAAACAGCGTCTGGAGCAGCCCCCAGATGGTCGAGTGGTCGGGCTTTTCACTCAGACTGTTGGCCACCGTCGTCATGCGTGCGATTGCCGACTCGGTGGTCTCATCTTGGATCAAGTGCGCTTCCTAAGCACGCCCTCAGTTTACATCGAAGACGCCCGTAGTACCTCGGTGGCGATGCGTCCGAGGGCTGCGACAAGGTGGTGGTCCTCGGCCGCGCTGTTGCTGGCCTGCACGACGATCCAGTGCACGCAGCGCTTGAGGTACACGTTGAGGAGGCACATGACAAGCCCGAGGCAGGCGATAAAGACAAAGAGCACGAGGAGGCGCGTGCGCAGAACGTGCTCGGCATCGACGTACGTGAGCGTGCTCTCGGGCGCCAATAGAATGTGGTCGACGGCGCCGCAAACTGCAAAGAAGCCCACGTAGATACCCACGAGGAGGAGCCACGCAAAGAGCTCAATGTCGAAGAGCTGGATGATCTCCGAGTCCTGGATCGCGCGGAGGTACTTGGGGAATGAAAAGAGCTCTGGCAGTTGGTGCGCGTTGAGGAAGTACCGGCGGACGATCTTCATCTTGATGACCGAGTGATAGATGCTCGGGAGGGCGGACGAGCTCGTGTCGTCGTTCGCCGTCACCTCGTTGTAGAGCTCCTGCGCCGTGAGGAGCGAGAGTTTGTCAACCTGCGAATTGTGCTTGCGGAGGCGCCAGAACATGACCATGGACTGCAGCGCGATCGCGAGGCCGTAGTAGAGCACCATGTCATCGGACGAGTTGACCATTTGCTCGTCGTCGGACGAGAGGACGTTCCACTGCTGGATGCGCTTGGAGACAAAGGCCGTGAAGCCACCGACCATGAGCTCTATATGCATGGTAAGTCGATAGGCCAGGCGGCGCCAGGCGTACCTTGGTACATCTTGGTGAGGAGGCGAAAGTACGTCGGATGGTGCTCGACGACCTTCTCGACGAGCTTGAGCCCGTGCTCGATGAGGAGCGCGAGCACGACGTTGGCGGCGACGAACCCGAGGCTCCCGAAGACCGAGACGGCCGGGTCGAAGCCCGCGTGGAAGAACGCGTTGGCGTCGTACGCTTCGGTCGCGTTGGCCATGCTGCCGATTGGCGAATGACCTCTATAAATGCATAGCCATCGTTCGTGAAAAACGTTTTCCACGTGTTGGGGGATTGTGATATCTCGAAACTCGGAACGACGTCTGGGCAAACAAAACCCGCAGCGCAGCCAATGGTTGACTACGCCAGTTTAGACTTAAACAAAGGGTTCATTTGTTGTGTCAAGCAGCCTGGAAATAGGTCTTTGCATCTGGAAGCATGATCTGGAAGCCATCTCTCGACGTCGTTGTCGTTCCGATCAAAGACAACCAAACAATAATGGATGCGACGATTACACACCGCCTCTCACACAACCGGCGTGCCAAGTTCGAACAGGGGCGACGCGACGACGCAACTCTCTTACCGCAGCAGAGGCGATTCGAATTCGATTCTGTAGGACTGCGTGCGGTGTTTGCAGCTGGACGTCCCGATTCACGGTGCATCCACGTAGCTGATTGTTACCGCCTAGTTCGTTGAATGTCCCTTTGTAGAGTATCTTATGCGGGCTGTGAAACTGCTTGATGAGGCTCTACTATTGAATCTAACCCTCGTTGCTTCTATCCTTCGAGTGTGCGAATTGTGCAAAAACGTCCTCTGCTTGATCGAAGTGTTGATTTTCCACGCGCCAAACCATTCTTTCGACATGACGACGTAACGCCCAAATACCACATTTCCCGCATTTCCCACACAAGAGAGCGTGCAGCACGTTATCACGGCACGCCGTCCAGAGCCTTGTCCAAGGGTCCAAACAAGCTCAAAGTACTCGAGTCGACCCCGTACATACGCTCGGTATGGATGCGAGCATATCACGACTGCACTTTACAGCTTGTGTATCGCATTCGGATTCGAACGGTGCCGATCGTGTGCGGCGATATATAAAGTTTCAGAGGTTTCGTACTGGGTACCCTCCACCTGGCACAACAATCCAAGCGACATGGTGGCGCCGCCGGTCTCGGAAGCGTTCCCGTCGGACGTGCTCTTCCACGCGGGCCTCGAGTACTCTGTGCGTGGCACGATCTACGCCTTCATGGCGACCGTGCTCTTCGTCGTCGTCTTCCGCTACGGGCTCAAGCTCCTTGAGGGGCGCACGGCGAGCCACGCCAAGTACTTTGTCCTGCTCAACAAGATGTACAAAGGTACCGAGTCCCGCCCACACTGCATGGCTCACGCCCACACTAGAGCTCATGGTCGGTGGTCTCATCCAGTTTAGCTCCAACCGCCTCTCGCAGTTTGGCGCGGTCGAGCAAGACTCGCCCGCCTACCAGGCGTGGGAGGTCGCCGACGACATGGTCTTCTTCTTTGCGATCGCCCTCGCGCTGCAGTCGGCGCTCATGTTTTGGCGGCTTCAGGCGCGCAACGTCGCGCTCGATACACTGGCGCTCTACACGTCCGAGGAGCTGTACGCAGAGGCGACGAACAATGGCGCTTTGGCCACGATTCCCAAGCCGTACGTCTCGGCGTCCAAGCTCTGCATCGTGCGCCACTTCTTCCTCACAAAGCACAAGTTGCCGCAGCTCTTTAGCTACCCAAAGTATTTGCGCGCGGTCCAGGACACGGAGATCATTGAGCTCTTTGACGTTGAAGTGTCGACGTGGATCCTGCTCCTCCTCGTCTACAGCGGCCTCTTCTTCCTCTCGGACGTCTTTGTGAGCTACCACGACGATCTCAACCTTCCCGAGACGCGCAAGAAGGTCCACGACATCCGCCTCATTGTCATTGCGGTCGCGATCGCCGCGCTCACGGGTAATTTTGTGCTATTTGTTATTTTGTCTTATGCAAGCCCAGTCTTTATGCTCGTCATGTACGCGTACCTCAAGAACGTCGTCTACCGCATGGTGCTGCACGCGGGCGGCGACGAAGCCACGCTCGCGGCGTCGCTCAAGCGCGTTGGTGACGAGGTACACGTAGACTTTTGGTCCCGCAACTGCTACATATCCTACGGTAGGAAGCGTCGTCGCGTATCCAGGAGACGTCGTCGCACGCACTTCTCAAGATGCACCACGTCGCCGAAGGCCTCAGCGACCGCCACGACCGGTCGAGCATCGGGGACCTGGTTTTGACCATCTTCCGCAAGGTCACGGGCTGCAAGTACAAGACGGCGTCGCACCGTCAAGCATCGCAGCTCATGGACGAGCATGCGATGGACCTTCCGTGGTTCTCGCGGAAGGCGACGCATGTCGGTGTCAAGGTCCTCCTGACACTCAACGCGCTCTACTTTGGCTTCCTCGCCCAAGCGCTCATCGTGCTCATTCCGCGGGACGTGGGTGCCTCCCACTACATCCTCGGCGGCCTCCTCGCGTACCTCATCGTTGCGCACATGGTGCTGCTCGCGCCTCGCATTGCGCGGCAGCTGGCGTTCATCAACGCGACCGTGCGCGTCAACCCTGCCGAGCTCAAAATCGTCATCGAGCACTACGCCGACGTGCTTCAGCTGCAGCGCAAGATGGCGCGTGCGGTGCTCGCGCACCTGGCCGCGCGCGATGTGACAATCGACGTCTTTATCGCGGGCCTCAAGCTCGACGACCCGAACGAGACAGGGTACATGGAAGGCGCTGTTTTGCGCAAGAACATCAAACGCTTTGGCTACAAGTTCTCGAAGCTCAAGTTCACGAGCTTTGTGCGCCTCCAGTTTGAAACCAAAGGCACAAAGGTCAAGTACGAACGCTTAGTCCAAATGCTCCACGACGAAGCGGCGCACCACGGCGACGAGGCCTTGCCACTTGCGTTCAGCGACGTGTAATTTTGCGTTTCAATCACAGTTGTGATTGACGCTGTCTCTGTAGACCGCCGATGTCCGACAAGAAGACTCCTCTCCTCTCGCCCCGCCACGTCACGAAGCAGGTGGATTGATACCTTGAAAGTATGGAAGCCACAGTTGCAATGCATTTCTTTCCGTGCAAAAAGCCACCTTGGTTCGCAGGGTTCGAACCCACACCAGCATCATCGAACCCGAGATCCTCCGATCATTTTCTTGTACTTTGTCATCCGGAGCCAGCAGGGTCAGGGGTTGGACCCATATATCAGACGCCATGGCAAGCTTGCCGGCTGCAAGCTTGCCTGATATCCAACTCCTACCACATGCACGTCACTCGCCCAGCTCACTCGCCTCGCTGCTCTCATTCTCTTTCGAGGATGGTTGATGCGAGCCACGTGGTATTCACGAAGCTCTACACGTGTGGTCAGTAAGCGCTCGATGGTTGTTTCTGTCGCCCACCATCTCGTCCACTTTCTCGTTCGTTTTATCTGCGATGGTCCAGCATTCTTGCATCGACGCCGGCAGCGCGAGACGGCTCTTCTCGGGCGTTTCCACGGTTGCGACTGTAGACATTGCTCGTCCATGGCTTCCTCGACCCGATTGCACCACATTTGTCCGGACGTGCGTGGGTTGAATGATGTGCGGAGACCTGTGTCGCCAGCGTCGCCTCTCACCTTCGAGTTCGTCGCCGATCATTATTCGCGCTGGATGCAAGCAACGGACGCAAGCCCGCTTCCGCCGTCGACGTCTTCTGCTCTCGGCGGTGCCGTCGGCGCCGAGTGCCAACGCCGCCGCCGTCTCTAGCTCGGTTGGATCGCAACACTTTTTTCACGTCCGATCCCATCGGTTGTCACCATGTCGCATGTTTATCCGGATTGCGTGCGGTCGTATCCGGTTGCGTGCAGCTCGCCATCACTCAGTTTCCGATTTGAGCATGTCTCGCCATCGCGCGCAGCAGGAAGGGCAGCTCTGGACCGCGCTGCGTGCGATCCAGGCGATCTGCGGCTTTGCGACCTTGCTGAGCCTCTTTACGGCCTACAAGGCTATCACGCTGAGTGGCGTCGCGGACGACGACACGTACCGCCCGGCGCAGCTGCGGCACTTTTTCCTCGCGATGGCCGCGTACACGTCGTTCGGGTACGGCGTCTTGTACTTGATCTGCGTCACGCTCTCGGGCCGCCTGTCGCCGGACGTGCTCTTGGAGCGACTCATGGACGGCGTTCTCGCTGGCGTCTACTTGATCGTTGGTATCCTTCTTGCACCCAAGATGAACTGCGGCCTCGGCATGTACTGTACGTGCACAAGTGTGCAAGCCATGATCGTCTTTGCCTTCTTCAATTGCGCCTTGAGCGTCATTGCAGTCGGAATGAGCCTCGTGCTGAAAACGCTGCCCGCGCACCCTGACAGTATCGAGAACCTCGTGCCCCGGGGCCACTACGGCCGCGCACCGTCACCTGCCGAGGGCGATGCACCGCGGCCCCGACACAAGAAGCCGCGCGCCTCGCCACGCGTCGACGACGACGACACGGATAACATTGCGCCGAGAGGCAAGTTTGGCAGCGTTCGCGGCTCGAATCTGGCCGACCTCATGAAGCTCCAGCGCCAAGATGAGCCCGCGCCGGCCCCGGTTGCCACGACTGAGAATCGTGTCAACTACTTCGTATAACGAGATGCCTGTTTATTATTCCTCGACGGTGCGAGCCAACGCAGCGTACTAGAAGCAGGTGAACCACTCGGCGCACGACCTTTCACTGCAGTGGTTGGCTTGCCATCGACCTGCCAGCTCCAATCATCGCACAAATCAGTGGGCGGGGGTGCGGTTTATCACATTGACGTATGGTACATTGATGCTATCTTGTGCTACTTAGCGTCGGCGCGGCGGCTGGTCGGAGAGGAGCTTGGCGAGGAGCACATCTAGATAGCACGATACGTTCATTGATGACTTCCATGCTATGGCGTACCGTCAGGGACGTAGCCGTGCTCGTACTTGGACCGCTGCGGCTGTCGGAAGAGGAGGGTGTAGATCATAAAGGCGCTCGCCCCCACAATGAAGAGCACCATGAGGTGCTCCATGTACGTCTCGTCTACCTCAATACGTGAAGGCACTGGATCCGACAGTTGCAAATTACCGTAGATTTGATCAAAGTACGAAGGCTGGTCCGCGGCCGCGATCGGCACGGGCACCAGCTCCTTTGGCGCTTCAACAAGCGAGATCATTTGCACTTGCTTCTTTGCAATGTCGAAGCGCGTGTAGTAGTACTGGAGGAAGAGACTGCCGAGAATCCACAGGTTCAGCGGACTCTCAATGAGCCCGACGAGCACCGTGCTGGCGCCTTCGACTGGAAACGCGTACATGCTCGGCTCGATCGTCACCTTGTAGCCTTGCAGCGTGCCTAGAAGCCGACCGTGCAATGCTGCTGCTAGTATCCTGCGTACCCAAGACAAGCTGGAACGTCGGCAAGGACGCCATCGACATGCACTCAAAGGGGCCGCCGCGGTTGAGCATGATGCAGCCAGCTTGCTGAAGCTCCCCCAGCACCGCGATCCAAAGCTGCGGCGGGATCGCGATAAAGCCCGTGCCACTGTCCAGCACTACCAGCATATACTGGTAAGCTGATCCCTTCAAGAGGGAAGACTACCTGCTTGGCATCGATTTTTGGTGCTGCCGCAGAGCTGCGTGGATCCAAACGTCGCTTCAGGCAGGCCCACGGTCCAGTACGTGTAGAGACCCTCCAGCTACTCGATATCCACTTTCATGAATCTGCAGAAAAGTCCGCTACCTCTTCGACTGGAATGGTCGACCACGCGACATGCGGCCCCGCGTATTTGTCGAGCACTTGGTTCACGGAGAGCACGCTCTTGTTCGTGCCATCGAGGTACAAGGCAAAGTCCGAGATGTACTCGACGGGGCTCGGGTGTGTAAAGAACGACATGGCGCTAAAGCTGCAGAGAAACGTAGCATGAGAAACGCAGCAACGTTGAGCGTGTGGGTCACCCGAGGCCAAGGATGCCGCTGTTTTGTAGGACGTTGGTGATGCTCGCGTCCTCGCTGTACACGACGCCAAACTGCACGAGGTCCACGAGCGGCACTCCATTGAGCGCTACATAACCACATGATTACGCTCCTGTCGATCGTTGTGCGTACCAATGCGGTCTTGGCCGACGCGCGCAGTCGAGACGCCTGAGCCATACGCGAGCGTGTTGTCGCAACTGCCGCGAGCGCAGCCCGGCACAAACGTCGACGACTGCGACGAGTTGAACTTGGGGCCGACATAGCACTGCGTGCAGTCGGTACCTAGGCGACGATTCGCAAAGCGAGCTGTAGCGACGAAGCGCACCTTGCACCCAGAGGTCGGACGACCCCGTGTCGATGATGAGATCGAACGTCTGAGATGGCGTGCCAATCGAGACGTTGACCGAGTACTGCGACTGGTAGCCTTCTGTCTTGGCCACGAGTGCGCAGTGGAACGCTAGGACGGGCGTCGCGAGCAGCAGCCCGACGACCGTGACCGCGTGCTGCAACATCGCTCCGTGTCCTTTCGGCGTCGGATCTTCACAAATGCTCTTTGATTGGTTGGACATTCGAGCGAATCTTAGAGCGGACCAATCACCGTCAAGAGCCTTGCCTCAACCCATTCAACATGCAGTGCAATGACAATAAGTCATTTAGACCACGTAGCCTAGTCCACTGGTATAGTATAAATTGATTTATAAAAACTACCCTCCCGAAGCGAGGTGCAAGCATGCTTGGTATAGCATCTCTCACGATATCCGTTGCGACTGAATAACCGCCGGCATTCGACAATGGGGAATGCGAAAACCAAGCCCGTGAAGAAGCTTGCTAAGACCAAGAAGCCTTTCGACGGCTCGTTCGGGCGGGACCCGACGTTGAACCCTGCCGACTACATGTGCAAGGGACTCCGTGACGCCGTAGTCGTGCGCAAGCCTGGCAGTGTGAATGGCCAGCAGTTTGTGCTTGAAGATTGCACCCAGTGCTCCATCTTCCTCCTCGACCACTGCACCTCGGTGACGATCGACCAGTGCACGGACTGCGCGATTTTCGTTGGGCCCTGCACGGCGAGCCTCTTTGTACGCGACTGTACGCGCACAACACTTGTGTGCGTCGTGCAGCAGTTTCGGACCCGCGACTGCCGCGACATGGACATTGAGCTCATGAGCGCGACAGCGCCGATCATCGAAACGTCATCGAATCTGCGCATTGGGTGCTACCGGTCGTCGTACTTTGCGCTGCCAGACCAGCTCGCGAAAGCCTCGTTCTCGATCTGGAACAACAAGTGGAGCGAGGTTACCTTGCACCATCGTCCAAAGTTTCGACTCTACGTTCTTAGGTCTTTGACTTTACGCCGGCCTCTGGCAACTGGAAATTCGTCGCCTCTTCGATCGAGCTCTGGCCGTCGGGTAGCGTACTTCCAGCATTCGTGCACTAACGAAGCTGTAGCGGTCCATCAACGCTTGCCCGCAGACGTGCTTCAAGAGGTCGGTTACTCCGAAGACTTGGCGCAGAGTACGTTGCCAATCGCGCACGGCTTGCACCACCGGTCGTCGGACGGCGATGTGGGCTTTGTGTGTATTTCAACGGTATGTTTCTACCAGTAAATGTCGGAAGCCACGACGTAAGAACTGTGGGTAGGGCAATAGCTTGCTGGCGCTGGACATTGCGCACCTCGCCCTTCGCAATCCGTGCCTCAAGCTCATTCAAACGCGGCAGTTCCGCGTCAGTGCCAAGCAGGCAGCGCAGCTCTTTGAGAAGGAGGCTGCGCACAAAAAGGTACCGATGTACTAGGACTCGAAGGCAGACGACGAAGGGACTTTTGACTAGAATGCATCAGTGCACGACTTGATCGTGATGGAGTGGGCTGGCAAAGGCATCGAGCCCATGCTGCTCGCGATTGTGCAAGAAGACCGCGTCAAGCCGCATGCGGGGAGCATCTATGTCAACGTGGCGCGCGGCAAAGACAAGTGCGAGCTGTGCTGGTCGACATGGAAGGAAGAGATTTAAGGAGCTAGTAGACACGGCCTTCTTCGTTATTGTTGGTCAACTTGTCTCATAGTACGCAACTCAATACATTTCGTTGCGCGGAAAAAGAGAAGATTGGAAATTTCGAAGCGCCAACCGCGGCGCGCGTTTTCGCCCGGATCCAAGGTTGGTTCGCCGATTGGTGGAATTTTCAGAATATCGACCAATCCCAAATGCCCCGGCTAACAGCGCTTCTTATTTTTATGGCATACAAATGCCAAGTTGTATTTAAATGTTCGCAGTGCAGACCCACTCGATTCAGCACGGCTTCTAAATTCGAAAGTTGAGCTGCCGCCATCCACCGCCCGCAGTCGCGATCGCTCCATGGCCATGGCATCGGACCACGTGATCGACCTCGTCTCGAGCAGCAGCAGCAGCGACAACGAGGATGACCTAGCCCAAGCCCGTGGACTCGACGACGACGTGGACGAGCCGCTGCCCGTCGCCGAGTACGGCGATGCGTCCAAGCTCCTCTCGCGGGCGCTCGAGTCGGCGATCGTCGATCTCGAGTCGGAGGAGTCGGAGGAAGACGAAGCGCTGCCGCGCCCACCAGAGGCATACGATGACGACGACGCATACGTGGCGTCTCAACCCTCGAGCATGGAAGACGATGACGCCGAAGATGGCGGTCGCCGCGAGGAAGGCGAAATTTCCGGCGATGACATTGCAGGCGAAGACGATGATCTGAAGGAAAAGCAGCTGCACGCAGAGAGCCTCCGCGAAGTGCTCGTTGCGCAACGCAAGGCGGACGCGCTCCGCAAGATGCAACAAGCGATGGCCCAGCGCAAGAAGCCCAAGAAGAAGAAAAAGCGAAAGCTCTCGGCAGATGCGTCGCCGCATACGTTTGTCAAGCGACAGGTCTTCATGGAAGCGCCTGCAGACGGCTTTCTTCGCGTGCATCGCCACGGCATGGTCGAGAGTCTTCCGGGTATGTACCACGATGCGTCCATGCTGCCGACTCGGTTCATGCATCCACCGCCGTACCCTGCGGACGTTGCCCAAGTAAACACGGGGTCTCCCGTCCAGGCGATGGCACCACCATTGCCTCCGTCGCCCGAGCCCGTTTTTGACCTCGAGAGTCTCCGAAAAGCGGCGCTGAGCTCGGTCGGGAAGCGGCCACCGCCGATAAAGGTCGAAGAGCCGGTCGCAAAGATGGCTTTGGGCCCGTCGTCGCTGACCAAGCCGTCCAAGTACCTCTGGACAAACCCGCAGCTGCAGGTCCCGCGGAAGAAGCCACTCACGGCGCTCTCGCAGACGATTGTCATCAACCTCTCGATGGACGAGTGCGAGCGTGCGCGGCAGCTCGTGGGCGACTGCATTGAGCCGGACGACCCGATCGCAAGGCTCAAACAGAAGATTGCGGCGCGCGAAGAGGCCTTGCGCCAAGGACGAAAGTCGGCCGCGCCGTCGCCAGAGTCATCACCGCCGCCCGTGGCCTCGCCGCCGTCCACGGGCGACGAGGTGGAGCTAGCGGAAGCCAACATTGGTCGCCTCGAGGAGCGGATCCGCGAGCTTCGGCAGCGCATCGCCCTCAAGACGCTCGAAGTGCCGAGTGTCGTGTAGTTGGACCCGCGCGGCTCTTTTCGTGCCTCACGTCTCTACCTAGGGCGCTTGGCTCGTCGAGTAGACACGAAAACACTCAGATTCGTAGGGTACGTATTTGCTTCTAGTCTCTATTTAAAAAACGTAGAAATTTCCAACCGACTACAGTTTGGCGGCAAGCTGCGTCTCGATCCAAAACTGTACCATGGCTTCGACATCGAGGAGGAGCGGCACGACCTGGAGGTGGTCAAAGTACTGGAACGGCTGCGGATGGTCGTCTATAGGCTGCAGCACCAACGCGCCGCGTGGGTCGAGGCGGAGACGCACGCTCCAAGCGACAAGAAATTCGTCGCTCGAGCAGTACTTGAGGATGCAAGCCGCAACTTTGGCTGGCCACACGCCCGCCTACGCTCAAGGTTGAGACCAAAGCCGATACACGAGGGAGTACGAGGCTGAATTGGCTCGATACGACGGCGCAAAAAGCCTCCAAGAGCGCTTGCAAGTGGGCGTCGACGTCGGTGATAGCGACGCCGACCCGGCCAGTGAGCGCTTCGTGGAGATCGATCTTCGCACGCGTTGGTCCCCAGGACGTAATGACGAGCGGAATCGTCGAGTCCTCGCGTCGAAGGCGCGTAAGGTCCAAGTCGCACTGCGCGTACACGTCACGGAGATTGGCGTGGGCGATCGTGAGGCCAGTGGCCGTCTGAAGGCCAACGTCAATGGCGCCAAGGTCGGCCGACGACTCGACCGAGAGTTGACCGAGGGCGTAGAGCAGAGCTATCCAACATTGAGCGATGAATTCGATCATGCGAGAGAAGGTTTGACGTACCCAAAGGCTGGTCAAAATTGATGGGGCCGCGGCCGTGGGCTTGGAGGTCGGTGACGCGTACCTTGACCTTGGCGTCGCGAACACCATCACGATCGGTGCCCGTCATCTTGCCATCGACATCGCACGCCAATGCTTCAACCGCGCACGAGCTCTAAGCAGCATCCAATCAGCTCACGATAGATTAAAGGGACGTCGAACCAGGAGCATTTGAATGGTGGCGCCAAGGGCTCGGACTTCGGCGATCTGCGCTTCGACTTCTTTTGTCACTAGGCTCGAATATAAACCCTCGGATTGTATAGTCGACGAATGGGCACCCGTATGCGTGATGCTGGGTGCGTCACCACTCGCTGCGGTCCACGACTTGCGGCCAATGCGAATACCGTAGACGGAGGTTTCCTGTCACAGAGGTTAGGGTACCGTAAAGGCAGCTTCGGTCGCACCGGACTGGGTTTTTTGGGCGTAATTTTGGCCGCCGACATATAGCGCGCGAAGAAGTCGCTCGCGGCTTGGATCACGTTGGCGAGCTGGACGTTGCAGACCAAGTGACTCAGCTGCACGCGGCAGGGCACGTGCTTGTCAAGCACATCGCGCCTAGTAGTAGTGGTGAGTGTATGAACCTGTTTTGTAAACGTGTACTTGGTGCGCAGCACACATGCTCCGAAGTCAAAGAGCTCGTACGCACACCCGCGCGAATCGAGCTGGCGCTGGAGAAACAGCAGCTCCAGGAGGTGCTGCCACGTTTGCGTCCACTCGGCGAGGACAGGCTCGACGTTGTCCATTGCCTAGGTCGTTTCGCGCACAGGTCCATCAGATTTAGGTGCCTACGTGCGGCGCCAGCCAGTACGTTCGAAAGTACGTAGCGATAGCTCGTAGCGACTGGAAAGAGTGCGGCTTGGGGCACAAGAGGAACCCACGGAGGCCCACAAGCAAGTTAAGCTGGGACCGCGTCAAGCCGAGTAGCGTCGCAATGTCGTCGAATGCCTGCACTGACATCTTGCTTTCTTCGCGCTAGGATGAGTGTAAACTCTAGGAAATACCGGCGGACGTGTGGTACTTCGTTCACGGGCTCGAGCGTCGCATCCACGAGATCGGCAATCGCAGGCCCTTCGACTTGCAGCTCGCCGCGCACCTAGGCTAGGTCGCACGCGAGTGTTCTGAGAGCCTACGACACCTCGAATGCGGACGACGCGTATTGGAAAAGCGGGCCGAGCTCCGGTGGGAAGTGGGCAAAGAGCACTTCCTGCACCAGCGTATTGGCGACTTCGGTCAACAGCATCTTGAAGAGCCCATCGGGAAGGTCGAGGCCGCCTAGCGTTGATAAATTTTGTCAGCAATCAGTTGATATAGCAATGAGCGCTGCACCCGTCACTTTGAGCTGCATTTTGTGGAATTCAATGCCCTTGGACGGCTCAGGCGTCCAGTGACCGTCCGCAGCGTTATACAGAAGCCCGAGGTCCCCGATACACTGCGTGGTGAGGAACACGGACGACCAGCGCGAGTTGGGCACACGCGTGCCTTTCTCCGCCTTGAGCTTGACACCGTGCAGCCGAATGGTGACTTGGCCTTTGAACGTGACATGACAGCGCACCTAGGAGGGAGTGTCGAGCCGTCGAGCTATGTAGTCGGAGTACGCACCGTGCCGTCCGGTAATGGCGAAATGGACGCGCCAAATTGAAGCTTGATCGTGTCGACCCAAATGTCTTTGATGCCGACGAAGAGCCCGATGAGGTTGCCTCGGAGAAGGTACCCCTTCTCCTTTGGAAACCAAATGCGCCGCTTGAGGTCTTCGTAGTGCGCGAGGTGCACGTCCAGCGACGACTGCGTCGCGAGGTCCTTCACGCCACGCTTTTCGTCAGCGGTGATTTGAGCGCGCAGTGCATTGACCGTGGCCAGTGTCGACTTGGCTTGCGCCTTCAACTCGACTTTGGTCCGCTTCCACATGAGGAGGCGTCCGGCCATGATGTGCTCGAGACGGGCGTGGAGCTTCAGAAGTTTATTCACTTGGTGGCTCCACGCGTTCTTGTGCGACTCGAGCGAGAGGTTTTTCGAGTAGAAACGGAGTGGGAGGTTCGCGTCGGGTGCTGGCAGCGGAATCTCGGGCAGTTCTTGCAGCTCGAGCTTGATTGGCATCTCGATATCTTCGACTGCGGGGACGACACGGCTCAAGATGCGCGTCCGTGCCCACCGCCGCCGTCTAGAATGGTACTTGTGTGTGGAAATCAGAGGCTCATGGTACGTACCGCGCATAGTCGGTCATGCCAGGCGACGCCTTGCCTTCGTCCTTGAGAAGCATGGGCGAAAAGCTACTCAAACAAGGTGTCGGATTCTGCCCGAGCTCGACCACACACGTACTTGGAGAAATCAAAGGCATACGTCCAGCCATCGCGGTCGCACGGAACGTACGCCGCGTCAATTTCCCACGGACCAGTCCATGCCCACTGGTAGGCCGGGTCGGCGCTCTCGGGCAGCGTCGGCTCGACCTGCTCAAAGACCTGCGACGAAGGCGTTCCGTGGCTGCCACTGTAGCGCTTCCGGTCCAGCACCGTGAGGTGGCCTATCATCGGCGACTCGAGTCCAATCGCGAGACGAGCTTTAAGCTACCTGGAAATGAGCTCCCAAAGCCCATGGTCAGGAACGAGTAGCGCTCGTTCTCGTAGACTTCGTCCACGGCGACGTCACTCTCGAGGTCACGGACGCCGTACTTGCGGTGCATAGATTGAAGCAGCGTCGCCTCGGCGCCGGCGAACTGCGAGAGGAGCTTGTCGATCTCGCCGAGCTTGGTCGGGTTGTGCGTCGTGTAGAAGGCCTCGAGGCGATCGCGGATGCTGCTCGCCATCCCGCCTTTCTCGTCGACTATCCGGACGACGGCCACTGGCGCATCCGGTTTCGACCGAAAGGGCAATGTGGGCGGTTTCAGCGGCCACTTCCTGGACAACATGACGCTCTTCGGTCGACGGCTAAATGCTATTTCGTCGACGGCTCGACTAGGTGTGCGTGGTTGTCGACACTGGATCTGAAACCGGCCAATCGCGATGGCGCAATGGCAGAGACGCCCAGCTGCCAAAGAATGGTCGGCCTTTTTCAACCGCACATGGTCGGCTCACCCGATCAAAATTGGACACATGCGAGCAAGCGAAACGTATCGTCATTTGCTTTAGCAGCGGTTCAGAATCTCCATGTCCCACGCAAGCAGCGACGGCAAGATGACATCGGCGTGGTCAAAGCGGCCGGGGTAGTCAGCCGTGGCGTAGAAGCGGGCATCGGGAACAGCGACGACGCGCATCCCCGCGGCTTTGCCTGCTGTCACACCGTGCATGGTGTCTTCGACAACGATGCACTTCGAGACATCGTGGACTCCAAGTTGGCGCGCGGCCTCCAAGAAGATGTCAGGGCTTGGCTTTCCGTTCCGGACGGCCGGGTGGTCGCCCGTCACGATCACTTGGAAGCGCTCAAAGAGCGTCGGATGCACCGCGCGCTTGACAGCAACCGCCGACGCCGGCGACGACGTTGCGAGTGCAATCTTGATGTGCGACGGCAGCTTGGCGAGGAGCTCGAGGGCGCCGGGAAGGATGACCGCGTCGTTGTACTTGGCTTTCATCACAACGTGCCACTCGTGCGTGAGCTCGTCGGGCGTGAGCGAGAGACCCATCGCTTCAATGACGACGCGCGTCCACTGGTGCGCGGGCGTACCCATGATGCGCTTCTGGAGCTCCATGTTGTAGCCACTGCCGCAAATCTGCGTCAACGCCGCGACGCTCAACATCTCCGTGTCCAAAAGCGTTCCATCTACGGCCTCGTGTTGATGGACAAGCTGTCTCTACTGGAGAAAACGTGCTTACCGAGGTCAAATATGACTGCTTCCATGACGCGCTCGAATAACAGTGCGGCGGACCGATGAAATACGAAAATGAGCTTCCGCCTGGCGCCGTTTCAATGGTATCCGGATGCGACATGCCCTTCGGCGTGTTCTTCTGGTTTGGGAGTGTGCCACGTAAGCATCGACGGCATTCATCATCCTTTGCCATACACTATTGTCATTACTATGCAGACCATTGAATACACGAAGTAGTGCTCGCGAAGATTGAGACCCGCGCAATGTCGTCAGCAGCGTAGAAAACGACTGAGCGAGGCGAGTTGCTGGCTCGTGCATCAGAGCACACGTCCGTTGTATTGCACAATAGTGGAATTTCCTCGATAAATTAATGCCACTAGTGCTCGAAGCGCCGCAGCTCAACCTGAATCTTGTAAGCGGCTTCAGCAGCGCGTGGCCTCAAGTACGGATCCTCCGACAGGCAGCGTATGCCAAGCTCCCGCAGCCACGACGGAGACACATCGGAGAAGGTCGGACGGAGCTGCCCCAGCATGACTTTGGCCATGATGGCCGTGTCCGTCAGCGGTCGGCCCGTGCTCGTCACGACGTCCGAGTACGGTAGCTTGTGTGAGTCCAGCTCCGAGAGTATGACGCCGAACGAGTACATGTCGGCCGACTCGTCGTAGTGACCGTCCTGGAGCACCTCGGGTGCCATCCAGCGGTATGTGCCAATGCCGGCGGTCATGGTCGCGTCGTCGAGCTCGCGGGAGATGCCAAAGTCGGTGAGCTTGGCGTGCAGATCGTCGGTCAGAAGGACGTTGCGCGATTTCAGGTCGCGATGCAGCACCTTGTGCTCGAGCATGTGCAAGTACACAAGACCCTCGGCAATGTCATGGGCGATGCGAAGCTTGGCGGGCCACGGCAAGTTGGCGTCGGCTTCCAGCAGCGATCGCAGGTCGCCTCGCGGAAGGAACTCGGTCATCAGGAGCAGCTCCTGCGGCTTGGTCCACGCGACGCCGACAAACGCCGCAATGTACGTCGAGTCCAGTCTACGCGCCGCTGAGATAGACGTCCAACGAAATGATATACCTTGCGACGAGTTGGGCTTCACGAATGAACTTTTCAACGTCGTCGCGGGTCTGTGTCGTCGGTAGAAGCCGCTTGATAGCGACGACGGCGCCCTGATACCGACCAAGGAGCACCTCACCGTACGCGCCCTGGGCGAGTGTGCGCATGATGGTGATGTCGCCAATGTCGACGCGGTGCATGTCGAGGTCGCCCATCGCATACGCGCCCTTGCTGCCGGACGACGACGACACTGCCGAGCCAGTGGTGCCAACACTGCTGCCTACAAGTGTCTGTGGGCGCGGCGACGACGAGGGCTTGCGCGTAGAGCGCTGCCGGCCGCTCAGAAGTGCAGGAATGCTCTCGTGGTCAGTGAGCAGGGCGGGCTCGTCGGCCATCGCGAGGCGGCGGCGGCGCGCGCGGATCGCAAAGACGACGATGGCGATAGCGACAAGCGCGCCAAGCACGAGTGCGCACGTTGTGATCGTCGACACAATGTCGGTACCGCCCGGCGTCGCCGTCGCCGCCGGCATTGTTGTCGTTAGCGAATTCACTAAGCTGGCGGCACCAGACGACCCGCCGACGCAATTTTGAAGCGCCGAAGCGTTCGTGCTTGCAAAGCAAGATGCAGAAGACGGCATGCAGGCTCCCGTGCCTTGGCGACACGGGCGCAGCCCAGAGCAGACACAGCCAAACGAGCTGTCGTAGCAGATGTTGCCGTTCTGGCACTGAAGCCCCGCAGCGCGGTCACAGAACGGTCGACCACGGCCGTCCTCGAGCGTCGCATCAGCGAGCGCGCAGGTGCCAGAGCTCGCCTCGAAGCACGGTGCTGCCGGCTGGCACTGCGTGGTGGTCATGGCGTGTTGACTTGTGCGACGGGAATGCTGCCAGAATCTCGCCAGTAACTGGCACCATCCGGTTTCGGCACACACAAGGAGCACCTAAAACAATATTTGGGTGCCTTTCTTAAACAGGGCACTAAGCACTAACCGCTGCTGTTCTCGACGACGCTTCCCACTGCACAATGAACACAAATGAAAGTCTCTATGGAGGTGTGGTATATCGATGTATATCTTTTGAAAAAGGGTGTATGGCGCGTTTCGCGGAGGCTGATCACTACTAATGTCTGCCAGTAAATGATTTAAATGGACTGCGCATACCACACCAGGTGCTCCTTTGACTTTGCACTTATCATTTTTCGCTGGGACTGATAGCTGGTTGCAATGGCGATCACAATTCATGCATTTGTGGTCGTGCCACGCTGATTTGTGCCGTTTGTGAATCGTTGCAAAGTTCAGGAACGGTCCGTCGCAATGATAGCCACGTCGTGATTCACGAACTAAGCTTCGCAGTTGTATTCAAAGCTGCTTTTCTGGTCACTGGGACCGCTATGCGATGGCCCCAAAGACAGTGCATTGACCAAAAGCAACGGTGGATCTACCAAGCGATTTCTCGTTGGGCGAGTACACTAATGTCCTCTTAAAAGTACAAGATCGTCAGAAACGAAGGTGAGACTGCAAGTACAGCTATCTGTAGGCGCCATTCGACCTGCTGAAATGTGTACATCTCCAAAATCACTAGATATACGATTATAGTTTTGTCGTGGCCTCGATTTTTCGCAACTCGGTTTGCAAAACATAGGCGGCTTGGGCGGCGCGCGGCCGGTCGTCGGGCTGAAACGCCATGCAGTGCTTGCCAAAAGCTTTGAACCACTCGGGGCAGTCGTCCGCAAATGTTGGCTGGAAGTCGCCCATCATCACCCGCGCCATGATAGCCGTGTCCGTGTACGGACGTCCGCTGCCGTTGACGTAGTTTGAGTACGGCAACTGGTGGGTGCTGAGCTCCGAGAGAATGACGCCGAACGAAAACATGTCGGCGGACTCGGCGTAGTGACCGTCCTGTAGCACCTCGGGCGCCATCCACCGGTATGTGCCAATGCCGGCCGTCATAGTCATATCGTCCATTTCGCGGGAGATGCCAAAGTCCGTGAGCTTGGCGCTGAGTTTGGTGTTGAGAAGCACGTTGCGGGATTTCAGGTCGCGATGGATGATTTTGTGGTCGAGCGAGTGGAGGTAGACGAGACCGTGGACAATGTCGAGGGCCAGCTGGAGCTTTTGCTGCCACGACAACGTCGCGTCCGACGTGAGCTGGAGAAAATTGCGGAGGTCGCCCATGTCCATAAACTCAGTCACCAACATAATGTCGCTGGGACGGAGCCACGAAGCGCCAATGAACCGTACGATGTACGACGAGTTGAGCCTACCATAAACACGATGAGTCTCGCCGCATGCTGATCGGATGGATGCCTACTTGGCCATGAGCTTGATCTCGAGCACAAACTTCTGGACTTCGTCGTGGGAGAGGGATTTGGGCAGCATCTTCTTGACGGCGACCGCAATGCCCTGGTACATACCCATGCACACTTCTCCGTGGGCGCCCTGGGCGAGGGCCTTGACGATGGAAATTTCAAACGACTGGATCCGGTACATCTCGAGTTCGCACAAGTCAAACTCGCGCGACGACGACAGCGCCGAGTCCTGGGACGACCCTTGGCTCTGAAAGGACGCGACGGTCGAGGTTGTGTGCGTCGGTGCGTACGACGAGGCGTGGCGCGGGTGAACAAGAGGAGGTAGCAGTGCTTCCTCGCGGTCCGACGTCTCTGCACCGCTGCGCAAAATAGGTGGCTCGGCGACGGGCTTGCGTCGACAAATGCAAAAGAGCACCATCGCTGCAATGCACACTAGCGTGAGGCACACGATGATCGTGATGGTCGTTGCGGCGTTCGCGACGCTGTCGAAGGAGTCGGCGACAACATTTTTGTCGGACGACGGCGAAACGACTGTCGGCGTTGTCGCAATCGGCGATGGCATTGACCCCGACGGGCAGAACTGCATTGCTGCGTTCAGCTTGGAGCACCCGTTGGACCACGGCAAGCACGCGCCGGACGCGGACCGACACGGACGGTCACCGCTGCAGACACAGATCGACGTGATGTCGTAGCAAGTTGTTTGGTTCTGGCAGGTACCCGTGAGCTGGATATCACAGAACGGACGACCATGACCATCGTGCTGGGTCTTGTCGCCGGGACAGCAGAGGTTGAGCGCATGGTTGTAGCACGGGTCCGTCCGATTGCAAACGAGCCCGGCGGCCGACGCGACCAGCATAGCAGCGGCGACAAGGAGTCGAGACATCATCGGTAGCTCAAGTTGGCAAGTGACGTCGGCTGATGGCGCTGACTCTTGGGTGCCGAAAGAAATGCGATGCAGTGACCCATGTCGCGCCGGGTGCGTGGGACCGGATCTTGCGCCCTTTCATGATACATCGTGCTGATTGGTCAATGTGAGATCTTTTGACACCATTTGCAATGACCAGTGACAAGATGGCAGGATACATGCGCATATCGCGAAGGCGAAAGAGAGAAAGTGGGCACTTTTCAAATACTACAGGCGGCAGTACCCAGCAGGTTGTGCACGAGCACAAACTTACATTTGCTGTTTAATAGCCGAATATCGTGTTGACCGCTCGAAACATCCACGTTGACCGGTCATGAACTCGGATTGCTGAGCAAATCACGAGTACCGGTCAGTACCGGTACGCACCAGCGCAGAGACATGCGCTACTACGGTGGGAGAGAGGGTACCTCTAGTCACTGCTGGTCCTGTATGTTCCGGTTCAGGCGGTAACCGTAACGCTGTTGCGCGCTTGCGGCATTTGCATTCACTGGTTCACTGGTGTGCATCGGTGTGCATCATGTATTTCACACATGTAGCGCGCGACGTCTCATTTGGTTTTCCTGATTTGACGTTGAGCAGCGCCGGCGCCAACAAAGCTCGAGCCCCGCTCAGTAATCTGTTCCATACAACGTGACGCCGGCGGTGGAAATCAAACACAATGCGAGGGAGAGCCATCTCCCGAAAAGCAGGCATTGTCTTGAGTTACTCCGCAGAGCAAAAGATGAAGTGAGCTGACGAAGCGAGCTTCGGCCTGGGCACTCGAAGAGGCGCCTGGTCTGTAGGGTCGCTCCTAATCTATGGTTCTAAGCATGTGATACCTAGTTGGAGATAATTATATCTTCCAACTAGTTGCCTCTTCCCCTAACACCTTCTCGAGCCATCCACGGCCAATCTGGTCGTATTCTGGCTTGCGTTGGTTGGAGCGTGGGTTGTCCCAATCGTCCAGACACAACAAGCACCGCGTTGAATCCCAAGGCATACATCTTGTTTGCCGTAGATTGGAGAGCTTGGAGGGCGACGCACGCAAAAGGCGTTGTCGGCTCACACCAAGGTCTTTTGAATGTGAAAAATGTTCCGAGGCAATAACCAAAATTACGGGCAAAATCGTTAAGTCGGGGTGTTGACGACGTCCATGTGGGTGGGAATTGGCTACAGACGCTAGAGCGACATTAACTGCGCGCAAACCATCTCCAAACCGCACCAAGGACATTCGTTGTTGGCAGACACCCGTCGGTCGTGTGGCGGTAGCTGGTTCGAAGACGGTGTTGCATGCCATGAGCGCGTCATGCGTTTTTGTTCACTCAATTTCATGTTTACGAAAAGCGTCCTGCTAAAACTAACGTTGGAATAATGCATTGTTGAGCTACGCACTCGAAAGCTCGAGGCATTGAAGCTCCAATTCGATCGCGTACGACGCTTCCATAGCTGTTGGGCGAGCCTGCGGGTCGCTAGCCATGCATTTGGCTCCGAGCTCGCTGAACCAACGTGGGCACGCGTATGAGAACGTCGGGCGAAACTCGCCCGTCATGGCCTTGACCATGACGGTAGGCTCCGTGTACGCCCGCCCGCTAGCACTTAGGTGGTCTGCGTACGGCAGCTGGTGCGTGTCGAGCTCGGACAATAGCACACCAAACGAAAACATGTCGGCCGACGTGGCGTAGTGACCGTCTTGGAGCATCTCAGGCGCCATCCAGCGGTAGGTTCCAATGCCGGCCGTCATGGTTGCTTCGTCCATCTCGCGGGCAACACTCATGTCTGACAGCTTGGCGCGCACCGCGTCGGTCACGAGGACGTTGCGGGACGTGAGGTTGCGGTGCAGAACCCCAGAGGCGTGTAGATAGACGAGGCCGAGGACGATGTCGTGGGCCATCTCGAGTTTCTGCCGCCACGAGAGCGCGCTCAGCGGCACTGACGCCACAAAGTTGCGGAGATCTCCGAGGCCGAGATACTCGGTGACGAGCATCCCACTGCGATCGAGCCCGTCTGGCGTCGTCACACCAATGTACGACACGATGTGCGGAGATTGCATCCTAATCGGAACATGAGTGTTTCAAGCTAGCAACAGTGCTCTACGAACCGCGCGAGAAGATGGCACTCCGCAAGGAATCGGTGTTTTGCAAGAGCGCCGGCCGGTAATTTAAGGGACTTGACGGCGACGGTGGTACCTCGATACGTGCACGCGAAAACCGACGTCCGCACCCCCGACGCAAGCTCGCGGCGCTCGACGAGCTCGCGAGGGTCGATGCCGCTGATAGATGAAGCAGCGTTCGCGCTGCTCGTGGTGGCGACGGGTGGGGCTGCAATCGCGATCGGTGTTGCCATGGCCACCTGGACTTGGCTCGGTGGAGGGTTGTACACAATGTAGTGGGGAATGGCGACGCGAGTTTGGATCGGCGCAGGGCGCTGGCGGCAGCATGCAACAGAAAGGATGACACTCACGACGACGACAACGACGCCCACGACAACGGTGCCGACGACCCACATCGCGGTCCACGACTCAAAAGTGAGAAAGTCGTTCTGAGCCTGCACCGCAACAACAGCGATAAGTAGGTTAGCAAGGCGGAGCATCTTTTAAAAATGATCTCGTCCACCAGCAATGTTGCTCGGTGCAGGCGAGCAAGACGATCCTGTAGTGCCACGTCTCACTACTGGCGATGTAAATCCAGTCTAGATCCATGTAGTGTTTGTTGACTTGTGTAATGTTCGCTGCAGTGTCGTTCATTTGGACACAACATGCACACCGCGAATAGATGCACGAGGCTGTGAACGCAAAGTAGTTGCCCCAAATGTGCTTTGCACGCTGCACGTCGTGTAGCTACGTAGTTGCCGCTTGGCAAGCCGCACGAGTCGAATTCAACCGCCCGAGACTCCCACAAAATTACTCCCACTCTGTAGCACGCGCCCATGTCCATCGTGTCCTGATTTTTGCTGTGGACGCGGCATTACATGGACGGTTGGTCTACTGTTCGTTTGGGCAAAACGAAAATGGGTATGGAGGCAAATTTTGCTGCACGGGCCCCGCGAGCACAACGCCGAATATGGAAAAAGTGGCGACGTCACGCGACGTATAAAATTAGCGTGCATCGCGTTACGTCGCCGCTTTTTCCATATTCGGCGTAGTGTTCGCGGGGCCCGTGCATCAAGCACGGTTGCGCTCATGAAAGAAAAAAATGCGCGGCGGCGCTCGCGGCGTGAAATTTGCCACCGTATTGTTTTATTTTTTTCGACACGTTATTTTAATTTTTTGAATGTTTTTGTTCACCAGCCAATAATAAGCACGCATTGTGTGACAGTGATACGGAATAAAAATATTGCATTTTTATTCAAGCGACGGATTAAAAAAACTCTATTTTCAATCGGAATTGCGAAGGAATCTGGCTTTTAATTCGCCAAACGAAGCGATTTTTAAAGCTGGATATCGTCATGAAACCAGCCCATTTCGCATTGTATTGCATTCCAATCGACGTATAAAATTCTGGCGATTTTTTATATGGTTTTAGATTTTAATTTTTCCTTTTTCTTGTGAAGCCCATTTTCGTTTTGCCCAAACGAACAGTAACAGTAAAAGCGAAAGAAAACTGCTGGACGAACGATGAACGATGTTTTTCAACAAGAGGATTTTCACGACGATTGTACATTGTACATTGTACCGGGAGCCGTATTGCCCCTTGTATGATGGGTCCTCGCGTTTGATGCCAAGCTACTTCAAAACTACCGTAATATTATTATTATTGCATGCACCAAAGGTATGTATTTTACTGCATCTTGTACCAAGGGGCATCAACAATTGCAATCCGTCCCAGTGTTGGTTGCTTGGGCTGGTTGGATCTCGACGGCAATTGCAACTGCCAGTGGCACGGAAGAGAACACGGGTGATGGGGGGGCGTAGCTGATGTACTGCGGGATCGCGCCGTTGTCGAATGAATTGCGACGACGCCATTGGCTCTGGAGCGGAGGCCGGCGCGACCGACAACATAGCAACTGAACAGCTGCACCCACAACGCAGAGGATCACAAAGACGATGAATATTGTCGACCATTGATCCTGGTCTCGTTGGAACGATTCGTGGAAGCTGGACTGAGCGCCAACAGTGCCGATCGTAGCAAAGAGAAGCACGAGAGTCGAGCGAAGCATATTTCACAGTGAACTTCGGATGCCAATGTCTCCTCGAGACACGGGCGCCGATGATCCATTCATCATTCAACCAGGAGTTGAAGGGAGCTTTTCATGGATCCTGGATTTCGACAAGACGACAGTGTCTCAGGCCCTGTCCGATATGGAGTGTTGTCCTATTCTTGATGAATTCAAGGCAGCTGAGGTGTCTATCGCTTGACGAGAAATAGCATCTTGTTTGAACCACGTCCCACGGTCGTAAAAGCATCGTAGTGTAAAATTCGATGAGTTTACCGCAGTCGAATTGAGTAATAGAACCAGAGCAGAGAAGCAAACACACTCGTTTTATTGTTGTGGGGTATGGGGTCCAGCAGCTCAAGGGCATCAACAAGCTGCAAAAAGAAACTGCAACCTACTAGTGGAGTGGTACCGCATCTGATGATCATGTGTCCACTTCAACAAAAGTTGGCCTCGAAGGAAAACCTCCCACAACAAATCACGAAAAATACGCACTCTCGCCAAAAGACGCCCGCCTCTCAACGCACCGTGTAAACAAAACAGAAAAACCTGTAGGAAATAATATCTCAATAGACTCATTCCAACAACAACAAAAGTTGGCAGCGGCTACTTTGCTCGGGATATCTAGTACCGCAGTACACCAACTATTTTCTGTCGTGCATTTGAATCTACCTAGTATCGGGACTGGTACTCTTGTATCCTTTCTGGAATGCTCTTGTCGCAGAGCGGCAGCAAGGAGTCCTAGGCTAGGACAGCTAGGGCTCGAGGGACGTGGGCAATGGTAGATACTCCGAGCTAGCCATCCCTGTCCGACGCGATGTAAGCAACTCGACTACTAACTGTGCTTGGTGTCTTTCAGAGAGCCTTTCGCTCGAACGAGCTAACTGATTTATTACTACAGTCAAGTTTGCTATTTTCCTACAACAAAGCCCGCAAAAGGGTCTTCAACTTTGAAATGAGTTGCGCATTTCGACTTGCACAGTATACGAGGCTTCCATGGCCGTTGGGCGGTCCTCGGGCTTGAGCGCCATACAGCAGCTGCCGAGGTCGCGGTACCAGCGCGGGCAGCTCCCGGAAAACGACGGCCGCAGCTCCCCGGTCATGACTTTGGCCATGATGGCCGTGTCCGTGTACGGACGTCCGCTGCTGTTGACCTTGTCGGCGTATGGCAACTGGTGCGTGTCGAGCTCCGAGAGAATGACGCCAAACGAAAACATGTCGGCCGACTCGGCGTAGTGACCTTCCTGGAGCACCTCGGGCGCCATCCACCGGTACGTGCCGATACCCGCCGTCATGGTCGCGTCGTCCATTTCGCGGGCAATACCAAAGTCGGTCAGCTTGGCGTGCACGTCGTCGGTCAAGAGGACGTTGCGGGATTTCAGGTCGCGGTGAATGACCTTGTGCTCGAGTGTATGGAGGTACACGAGGCCCTGGAGGATGTCGTAGGCCAGTTGGAGCTTTTGGTGCCATGGAACGGACCCGGTCGAGGTGCCCTGGAGGTAGTTGCGGAGGTCGCCGGCCTCAAGGAACTCAGTTACGAGCATAATGTCACTGGGACGGAGCCACGAAGCACCGATAAACTGCACAATGTACGGCGATTCCATCCTAATGACAAAGGATGAGAATTCCCAATCAGTATCGGTATCGGGTACTTGGCCAAAAGTTTGATTTCCGCAATGAACTTTGGCAGCTCGACGCGCGCGTTGTCGTTGGGTAAAAGCTTCTTGACCGCCACGCGCATGCCTTGGTACGACGCGAGGAGCACCTCACCGTATGCGCCTTGTGCGATCGGCTTGATGATGGCGAGCTGCGCGTGGCTGATGCGGTACATGTCCAGGTCCGAGACATCAAAGTCGGCAGACGCACCCGACACGGCCGACGTGTTGGTCGACGATGCGTGCGACCGCGACGAGATGGGTTGCACCACCGGGATGTACTGCGTTGTTGGCGGTTGGTAGGCTTGTTGTTGCTGCTGGTACATGGACGCTTGCTGGTATTCTTGCTGTCCTTGCTGGTACGCTTGCTGTCCTTGCTGGTACGCTTGCTGGGTCGGTATTTGCATGTGGTACTGCGCCGCTGGCACAAGACCGGGCTGGTTGTACGCGGCGGCGTTCGTCGTCGGGCCCGAGAGGCCTGGGATCGTGATTGATGTGTCTTTGCGCTTGCAAGCGCAAATGACGACCGCGATGATAATGAGCACGATGACAACACCCATGATGATAAACATCGTCGACACTGAGCTCGCCGCCTTGTCGAACGAGTTGCTCAGATCGAAGCCCACCACGCTTGACGGGCTCCATGACGTCGGCGACGGCGTCAGTGAAATCGCGGCCGCCGAGTTGTTGACGCAGTACGAATACAAGATTGAACGCGACGTGGCAGAGCACGCGCTGCTTTGCGGCTCGCATGCCCCCGTCGAATCGTACAGACAGGGTCGATCGCCGCCGCACGGGCACGCAAGACTCGAGTCGTAGCAGAGCGTTTTGTTTTGGCAGCGCGCAGCGAAGGCACTACAGAAGGGCCGACCGCGGCCGTCGTGCTGGACGACGTCGCCAGCGAGGCATCGCTCGCGGATCGAGTCGTAGCACGGAAAGGTTGCGTTGCAGACGATGGGCAGCTTGGAGTCGAGGCTTCCGTCAAGCGCGGCGGCGACCGCTGTCCATACTATTAGCAGTAGTAGCACGGCGATGCGGCGACGATGTTGCATCTCGGGTTGTGCCTGCTGGTGGGTGCATGTCCCGGCCTGTCTATTTGCACTGTATTCTTGAAGTCCGGCATCTACACCGGGATCAGTTTTACAAAACACTGGATTCTGAAACAGAGTATACCTTTCCAGTGGCCTTGATTCACATTCCTGTTTTGCGTTCTCGTCGGCCGACGCGCCACCATGTACTAGTATGGCAATGGCTCAATGCATCGCTAGCGGCTCGTGCGCTCGTATGTGGTCGCCAGGGTGGCCGGCCCAATCGTTGTGTACTAACTACTAGTAGTACGCTATTATTGACCCTTGTAGAAAGTAAGTTCGGGATGCTTGGATGGGCTCCTGGGCACGCTCGATTGAACGCGTGGTCCGCCCACGCTACCATGCTCTGCAGAAGTCAATGCCAATCTACCCTCTAGCTCGATTTGTTTCGCGTTCTTTAACAGTTCGAAGCATAGGCGCCACAACACTCTACTATGACGCTCTATTGCAGCAGACTCACACGCAGTTGCGACTCGCCATACCTTGTCGACTGAATAACACACTGCACTGTCCTAAGAAAGAAGAGTTAGCTGTCGAATCTTTCGTCGGCTTTTCGTCGATATTGGGTTGTGTGAAACTAGGCGTCTTCAACGGCGGTTTCTACGTTTCACCAAAAGTCGAATGCGCACTCTGTGGCTCAGCTGGGTGACCACGGTCGCCGCCCTCGATCATGGTGGCTGGACACGCCTTGGACGCGCGGGCAGCGGCGTCTCCTTGGATTTACGCTTCGCTCTCCGTCCGGCGCAACCCGATGCTCTTGCGGCGCAACTGGCGGCCGTCTCGGACGTGCACTCGCCTTACTTTGGCCAATACATGTCGTCGACAGACCTCCGAGACCTCGTTGCGCCAAGCGTCGCGGCCTTGGCTGCTCTCGATGCGCTTCTGGATGGTTTCAATGCGACGTCGGCCGGCCACGGCGAGTACGTGCGCGTGACGCTGCCCGTCGCGGTGGCGGAAGACCTCTTCGCCACCGAGCTGCACGAATACAGACGAGGCGACCGCCGCGTCGTTCGTCCGTTCGGTGCCTACGCCGTGCCAGCATCCATTCGGGACCACGTTCTGCTTATCGACGGCCTTGAGCACTTCCCGACGGCCTTTCGACGACAGTCGACGACGCTGACCTCCGCCAGCATCGATGACGGCATCTCGATCAGCGCCATCCAGCAGCAGTACGGACTCCCCGTAGGCCGCGCTGCCACGGACGTACGCAACCAACTCGTCGTTGGCGCCTTTCTCAAGGAGGCCTACCGCGCATCGGATCTTCAGGCGTACTATGCACGTAAAGTCATTTGCATCTGTTGGCTTCCATCACCGTGGCTGGTAGGGAACCACGTGGCTTCAAGCGCGCTGCCAAAGAGCGTGCAGTGCGCTGGCGGCGGTGGCGATGACGCGCCGGCCACGGGCGAAGCATCGCTTGACGTGCAGCTCGTCATGGGGCTCACGGCCAATGCCGAGACGTCGGTGTTTTGCTACAACTCGTATCGCGATGCGACGCGACCGTTTGGCGACGACAACCAAGAGGTACTGGTTCTTATTTGAGTGCATATATGTGATCAAGTTTCCAGCCCTTTGTCACGTTCATGCACGACATCAACGCCATGGAGCCAGCACCGTCCGTGGTGTCGATCAGGTGCGCCTTAGCCACAAGTTTACCGTACGATGGTTGTGCGACTAGTTATGCTGACGACGAGTGCGCGGTGCCACCGGCATACATTGCAGCGTTGGATGCCGAGTTCATAAAAGCGGGCCTGCGAGGCACCACTGTTGTCGTGGCCAGTGGGGACAACGGTGTTGTCGGGAGCACGCTCGTCTCATTTTGTGGTCGGCCGACATGTGCTCGCTTCGAGGTGCGAAGACGCTGTTGTCATGCGTGCGTACGCTGATCTAATGTACCTCGGTAGACGGGGTATCCAGCGTCGTCGCCGTATGTGCTTTCAGTCGGCGGCACGCAGCTGGTGGGAGATGTTGAGAGCGACAGCAAACATTACAAAGAAGAAGTTGTGTCGACGGATACGAATGGCGCCATCACGTCTGGAAGCGGCTTCAGCTGGTACGCCTCCCGACCCTCGTATCAGGTACAAGTGACATAGCTCGCCTCCATACGACGCCATTTGATTGCAAAATGGCCCAGGACAACGTTGTTCAAGCCTACAACCTTCGCCAGAAAGAGGCTTTCGATGCAGAAAAAAGCAAAGGAAAATACAATAGCGACGGGCGCGTCTTCCCTGACGGTACCACACGCAAAACCCGATTCGTCTAACGTCCGATGTTGGCTAGTCGTCGCCATTGGGCACAACGTCCCGATCGTTGTCGGCAATATGATCGAATGGACGGACGGCACGTCGGCGTCGGCGCCCATCGTTGCTGCCGTCCTCAATCAAGTCAACAAAGACCGTCTGCAGCGCAACCTACCGTTGCTGGGCTTTGTCAACCCGTATCTGTACAAGGTGCTGCTTTGGTATCTGCGTCCATGATAACGACACGCGATGCGTTTAGCTCTACGATGTCTGCCCGCACATCTTTCGGGACATTTCTGTCGGCAACAACAAATGCGGCGGCCATGGCCAAGTATGCTGCGACTCTGGCTTCTCGGCGGCGGCTGGGTGGGATCCGCTCACTGGTGCGTCGCAAGCGCTTCCTTTGCTCAACGTGCACCTAGGACTTGGCGCAATTCAATACGATCGATTCGTGGAGGACATGAGCGCCTGTGAAGCCCGCATGCACGAAAAAGCCCTGCTTGTCTCGAGTGGCGAACGGTATGCCTGGCATACAAATTGTGAAATACAGATTATCTGTAGGCGTGACATGACCCTTTATGTGGCCGGCGGCGTCGTGCTGCTCGCAACGCTCCTTGCGCTCCTGACGATGCGCGGCCGCAGCCCCGTCATGGACGATAGCATCCATCTCGATTACAAACTCGTCGATTAGGCTATACAATTGTATTTCTTTGTGTGGCTGCAACTACATGTTTCGGTCGAGCCACGCGCGAACTGTCGCAATGCAAGTCGGGCCGTCTACGAACGAATGGCGTGACGAGCCAGAAGCAAAGTTGTGCAATACCCGTCGCGTCGTGCTTCTCAAGCCAAGGCGAGTAGAGCAGCTCGTCGGCCGACGCGCGGTGGCGAATCTAAGCAGGTATAACGACCCGCGATTCTCGAGCCGCCTTACGTCTCGGTGCAAGCAGCCATCTATAAACTCGCGGAATTCTTCAGAAAATTCTACGGTTGTGTCGCGTTGGCGTTGACTCGTGTTTGAGGGGGTACCGTCCGGGGGCAACGAAGGCGTCGTGGCTTCAATGATTGACTGCACAATCTACAAGACTATCCTTTACGCAAAGCAAAGAAGTTGGTGTCTCGTACGTCAATATAGCTCGAACAGTTTTCAAACGGGTAGCGTCCCGTTGCCGACTCGACAAGAACGAGGCCTAAGCTCCAGATGTCGCACGTGTAGCTACGACACATTTGAACATGAGAGCAGGTTACAATAGCAGAGAAAAAGTCACTCGTAAGGCTGGTTTTGGATGCGCTCGGGGGACATGTACTTGAACGTGCCCACAAACGTGTTTGCCATGTCGAATGTGCCCGATAACTCGCGCGCGAGGCCTAGTCTGCGTCATAACGATGGATGTATTGCCAGGTAGACCGAAATCCGTCAGCTTCACGTGGCCGTCGCTCGTCACGAGGATGTTTTGGGGCTTGACGTCCTAGGTTAGCGGCGTATGAGGCTGCACGTTCGAGTAAGGGGGCTCTACGCGGTGGAAGTGGCGATGTTCCTTTAGATGCTGTAGACCACAAAGGATTTGGAACGTCATGCAAGCTAGAATGGCCTCGGGAATGCGGCCAATCTGAAAAATAGGTTTGTTCGACCCACGTCAGACGACGCTCTGACCTTTTTGACGACGTTGTCGAGGGATCCACAGTCGCAAAACTGCAAAATCAAACTCAAAGCGTGGTCCTTAAAGTATGCGCCGTAAAAATCCACGAGCCTAGACGTATATGAGACACGGTGACATCGCGAACGACCACCATGGAGTCTTGAGACTGTACAGAGTTTGGATCTCTGTGAATATCTGATTGCGCTGGCTTTTGTCGTAGACGTTGTTGACAGTCTGACGTAGCGCTCAACACGCCTCGAAGGAGAACTTCTGTACCTTGATTGCATAGAAAGTATTGGTCTCGGGATCGTGCGCCTTGATAACGTTGCCGCTGCATCCGCGACCCAAGAGACTGACGTGTACAAGCCGGTGGTGCTCGACACCGCTCACCTACGACACCTAAATTGGATGTGACTGTAGCTCGACTGACGTACCTTGAAGGTCGGTGACGTGTCGTCGCGTAGATCCATGCGAACGCCGTCTCTGTGCTGGCGCTGGCTCAGGAAAATAGTCATTCGGCGGCAAGAAGACCAAAGTCGACGAAAAGGATATGTTGATCGAGAGCGACCCTTTCCGAAACGTAGTTTCGCCAATGTCGCAAGAGATCTCGAGCTCATCCTTCTCCTCGTGCACGGAGTCGTCGTCGTCGTGTTTGCCGTCGTGCACGTCCAGGTGCAGCGGCTTTCGCGGTCGGCGCGCCCCCATGCCACAGGGCTCAGAGCGTTTCGCGATATCCAAAATCCAGAATGATTGATCTCAGAAAGTGTGTTAAGGCGTTGGGCATTTTTTGGGTTAAGTAATTTATGCTATTTGCGGCTAATACACGCTACGTGCACGCAAGGGTCGATAAACTGTTTATTGACCCTTGGTGCACGGCTGCACTATCGTAGGCTGTACTAAATGACGCAGCTTTCATACGTAGGGATCATGTACCTACACACAAAAAGTAGAGCCGCGATGCTCTTGAGCAACAAAGCTCACTTGATGTTGACGAAGGCGTCCTCACCGCCGTGGCGCTCCAGTATGTACAAAGTCTCGGTGATGAGGTCGCCGAGATTATCGTTGCGCTGCTGGCCATAGTCGATCGCGTCACCGCAGTTGACTACACCGCATCTTTCTTGTCGCGAACTATGCATTTTGTATCGTACCGCGCTTGGTGATGAAGAGGTTGAAAATCGTCAAGAGTTGCCGGTAGTAGGGCACAAGAGCTTCGCCAGCGTAGGGACAGAGCAGCACGAGCTTCTGAAGCACCTTCATCTGCGTACAGAGTATCTGTGGCTGGCGCGTCATGAGATTCTGCTTCATGGGCAGAATCAAGTGCGGAATGGACGTGAGCGACCGGTCTCCGCCTTTCTCTAGCAAGTCGAGCGTGCCGTTGAGCGCCAAAAACTTGTAAGGCTCGTCGAGCTCGCGGAGGCCCTCGATGAAGAGCGGGAGGTAGTGCGTGTAGTCAAGCGTTGTAATGTCCACTTGCCTAGTCGAGAGGTCGCTCATACTCAATGACGTAGCCTTGCTGACGCACCATTGCACCTTGCGCACGGCCCCATTGAAGTTGATGCGCAGCGGGAGATCGCCCCGGTCGTCTATACGGGTCTTGTCAGCAAGGTCTATCAAGGATCGTGGTCGTACAAAAGTAGCGAAACTTGGTCTTCTCAATCGGTCGCGCCTTGTAGGCATTGGTGCTCTTGGGGGGCGACTTGGGGGCCACGCTCTGGTTGGAAGCGGCGGCTTTGACGCGGCTGGCACTGCTCACCGTATTCTTCTGAAGCTCCTTGAGCCGGCCGCTCGCCCGAGAAAACTGATCCTCCTTATTGGACGACTTGGTCTCGGGCTTGGCTTTGCCCGGGACCTTCTTTGCCGGCGCTTTTGTCTCGGCCCGCCGCCGGTCCATCGCGAAACGATTTCCGACTGGCGCCGATTGGGACGTCGGGCTAAAAATAGAGACTTCCGGATATGGTTCCGGATATCGTACCAACAACATGTCGGCCACAGTCATTGCTGCATGATGCACGACGTCCATTTGGTCGACTGCTTGCGCGAGAGACGACGTCTCGCTGTCTTCGTATACTCTTATCCTACCAGTATTACTATCCTATCGACAAGAACCGGCGTTGGCAACGCGGACACGCATGCAGACACGTTCGTTGACGTTGTTATTTTTGCATAGTCCCCCTACCCAAAGTGCAAATTCGGGTCCCCTGAATTCGCTGAAGCACACCACTCTCGCGTGTTGGGTGTTCTGGGAGCGCGATGGAGGAGGAATGGATCCCGAACGACGAGGACATTGAGACGATCTTTAGCATGGACCAGGGGATCCTGGGCATGGAGGTATCACCGACCTCACCCTTCGGATGGTCCATGCATCGACGACGTAGGAGCCGTCCAAGAAGCGAGCACGGCCCGACGACGGCTCGGACGACGGCGCCTCGAGCAGCGATGACGACGGCGCGGACCTTGAAATGGAGATGGAGCGACAAATGCGAAGTCAAGTCCAAGATGTGCAGGCGATCCGGCGGCTAAAGCACCGCATCATTTCGCGCAAGTCCCGCGCCAAGAAGAAACGCGATATGGAGGCGCTGCAGGTGCAGGTGCAGGAGCTCGAGGCGACCGTGAAGCGGCTGCAGGCTTCGTCCTCGGTCGCGCTCGTCTCAAACGCCACAGACCGCAAGACCGCGTACCTGCGCCTGTTTGCAGAGGCCGACCGGCTGCGCGAAGAGAACCGGAACCTCAAGCTCGCGATCGAAAAACACGTCGGGTTTGCCAACTCGGTGCAGTCGTCGATCGCGGCCGTCGAAAAGTGGGAAAAAGAAAACATCGTGCTCGCCGCGCTCTGCGACTTTGTCGTGTTCCACGCACTCTCGCCCGTCCAGTTCGAGTGCCTCCGCCAGAAAACGCTCTCGGAGTGCGCGAGCTTGGCCCTCGCCACCGACGCGCCCCAGCGCTTTCAAGGCTGGGATGACTTTCGGCGCACAGACTTTCCGCCGCCGAGCGCTCCGCACCAGCAAACGAGCTCCGTACCGGCTCGTGCTTCATGGGTCTCGTCCAAGATCCTATCGCTCCCGTCGGGCACAACGCTGCAGACCATCGCCGACAAGACCTGGCGCCTCTACCAAGAAAAGGCAGCGTGTGAACGTCTCCTGCCATATCTGCGCAAGCTCGAGGTATATTCTTGACGATATCGTATCGTACTTCAGAGCTGTTGTTAGGTGCTTCAAATCGTCAATGAAGACGCATTCGTGTGTCGACGGGATTTGCTCTTCCCGCACGCCAAAACCCAGCGCGTGCACTATACGACTCTGCTTGTGCTCCGGGCCTCACAAGCCGTACGAGAATCAACGCGTCCCGGAACCTGACACTGTTTTCTTCGCGTAGGATGGACGGGTTACGTTCTCGGTCAAGACCATGGACAACCCGATTACGGACACGGCCCTTGGCGACTCGGAAGCTTGGCTCCACGAATGCGTCGAGTACGAAAGGTCTTTTCTCGCAGCGTTATATGGTGGTGTAGGCTCACACTGTCGCCGGCGCCGAACGGCGCGTGCCACGTGCGCTGTCGAGGGTTCCAGGACAACGCAATGGTGTCGTACGCCAAGCCGGCGCTCGTTGAGCTCCTCGCCGTGCTCTTGCGCTGGGAAGCATATGTCCTCGAGCCGCCCGCGAGATGTTAAGACTCAAGATACAAACGCGTGTTGAGTCCAAACATGTTGCCCAATGTACATGCAGAAAACAGTGCTTCATGTCGTGGCGTCTTCGTCGTCCGACGTGTACGACATGCGCACGTCGATGTCGTCCATCTGCACCTCCGAGGCCGTCACAATGGGCGAATCGGCCACGACCTTGAGCATGCCGAGCGCGTGCAACGCCTTGAGCTTGGTGCGCGCGCGACGCCACTTGGCTTGGACCTGTGCAATGCTCGTGAGTAGACAATAGGCGTCCCAAGGTTTCAGATACCGTGAGGTTGGCGTGGATGCGAAAGCACTCCATAAACTCGTTGATGTTGATCTCGTTGTCGTGGCTAAAGTCGACCGACCGCATGAGCTCTTCGGCCTTCGTGAAGGGCTTGACGTTGGGCGGCAGGTGCGCGTTGAGGATGTCGATGCCCGCCTTGAACTCGTCCAGGCTGATCGTGCCGTTGCCGTCCTTGTCAAAGACCTGGAAGAGGGCTTCGAGCCGCTTGCGGTAGCGATACATGTTGTTGAACATGCCACGACGGTCGTCCTAATGCAAGTGAGCGAAGGCGCAGACGCGAATGCGGCGTACCGAGGCGACTTCGTCGGGTTTGGTCTGGCCAGCCGTCTGGTACCGGTCGAGGAACTGCTCGTAGTTGATCATCGAGTTGGCGTCCATCGATGTGAGCAGCGGTCGAATCGCTTGCCAGTTGAGCTTCATGTGCAGCTCGTCCTCCATGACCTGCATCCACGTCGAGAGCGGCACCAACGCCGTCTTCGCTGGGTCCGCGTCCTGGAACCGCTTGAGCAGTTCGTCGCGGTGCGTGATGATAACGCCGAAAAGACCCTCGAGGTTGGAGGCGACAATGTCCGTCTCGGACGCCGTGGCCATGTACTGGAAGAACGACGGCTTGGCGTTCATCGACTGCGGAATGCGCATGAAGCAGCCCATGTTGTTGGCAGCGCCGCAGTAGTTGCTCGCAGAGAAGAGCGTGACGAGCATCCCTGTACAGCATCCGTCGCATAGCGCTCCATCAAGGCAAGAATTTACCTTTGGCGGCGTACGGCCAGTCAAACCCCTTTGGGACGCACTCGTGCGACCGAATGATGAGCTCGAGGCGGTTTTTGACCATAAATTTGTACACGTGGTCGGGGCCATAGTTGATGCCTAAACACATAAAGTTCTTCAGACTAACGAGAAACAACAATACAAATCGCACCAGCGCCACGGGCATTTTCCTTCCAGCCGGGTGCTGTCGCGGGGTCACTCCAAAGGATGTCCTTGACCTTGCGCATGTGCTTGAACATCTTCTTGTCTTCCTTCGTGCGACCCACGTCGCGGTACTTGCCGAGGTCATAGTACTGGCGCGGCAGCGTCTGCATCTCATCGAGCGTGATGCCCTCGCGAGTGATACCGCCATGCAAGATCAAAATGCGCTTGTCGAGCACAGTTGCGAGCTACGCGACGGATGAGCCGTATTCGACACGACACAAAGCCGAACCGGCAACCACTTGAAGACGACGCAATACAACGAGTAGACTTCCTGGTCGTACTTGGCGACGCATTCCTAAGCGGACGTTGCTCAGGAAGCCATCTTTCGCCGACAAAATACCTTCATGAAGCCAAACACCTCCGTGATGGACCTACGACGACGAGAGAGTTGAGAATGACGACGATAAGATGAGCCTCCGACTTGTCTTCGTGATTGCCGCGGTTGATGTGCACAGCATCCGGGTAGACGACCATCCAAATGAGGATGATGAGTGAGACCTCGACGGACCGATTGCCGCGGTCCACGATGTCGCCGTTGAACACATACGGGTTCTCGGGCGACGGGTATCCATTCTCGCGCAGGATCAACATGAGGTCGTCAAGCTGCCCATGCAAGTCGCTAACCACGCGATGTGAGATGCTTGGACTCGTCACGCGGACTCACCCGATAATGGTCATGTGGGGCGCGGGCGCAATCGAGAGGTGTGTCACGTTCGGCTTGCGCTGGAGTCGCTCGAGCACTGTGTGGAGGATCTGCAGCACGTACGTCTTGTGCAGCTTCTGGCCGCGCTTGAAGCTCTCGACGAGCGCGACAGCGTCCTACGCTGTGTGGTAACGCCGGCATCATCACGCACAGGGTCTACTTCGCGAGTGATGGGGTCATGCAATCGCACGCCCTCGTAGAGCTCCGTAATATCGATCTTGGAGGCCGGCTGCGTCGAGAGACCGAACGAAAGGTTGGGCACCTCATCCGGAGGAGCGCCCAAGTCGGCGTCGCTGTCATTGACGCCTGGCATGTATTCATGCAGGGCTCGCAGGAACGATGACAGCTCGACCTATCCATGACAGGCTAAGGGATATCCAATTTGGCTGCTATGGACATACCACATCGGCCTCTTCTCTATTCTCAAGATCGTTGAAGAGCTAATCATTGCTCAATTCAATGAGCGCACCAGCATCGCCATATACCTTCCATTGGCTGCTCGAGAAGACTTCGTCGTCTGTCAGCGTGGACGTTTCCGAATCTGCGTCGCTGCCACGACCAGCAGCTTGCGGTGTAGGCGGCTTAGCCGCAGGCGATGCAGGTGGCTTGGCCGCAGGCGACTGCAGCTGCGAAGGTGGCGCAGTGGAAGCGGCCATCGGAGGTTGGCCCTTCGTCCCGCGCTTCTTGGCTGTCGACGACGTCGTGCCCATGGTGCTGTCCCGTCGGTTGCGGAAGAAAGGTGACAATCCACCCGCAGCCTTCTTTTCTTCCCAAAAGGTTGAGCCATCAGTCCGGATACGAGTGCCATGCATGCTATCCGGACGATCCGAGCATGTGCAACGCCTGGTTCCATCGGCGCAAGCGCGGGACGGCCTTGGCATCATGGGACGGCCTCGGTTGGCGGCGAGCTTGGGTGCATGGCCGCTGCGCCACGTATATTTGCATAGTCGCGCAGTGTGGCGAGGAGGAGAGTGGGACGCTGCAGTGCATGGAAGGTACGCAGAAAATACTGGTCGACGTTAGCAGCATGCACGATGTACGAGAAGGTCTTCATGCGACGTCGGCCCGCACCGCAGGCTTGAGCATGCCGAGGTGGTGCATGGCTTTGAGCTTGGTGCGGGCGCGGCGCCACTTGGCCTGGACCGTGAGGTTGGCGTGGAGGCGGAAGCACTCCATGAACTCGTTGATGTTGACGCGGTTGTCGTGGCTAAAGTCAATGGCACGGAGGAGCTCGTCCGGGTGATCAAAGGGCAATATGTCCTTCGGGAGGTGTTGGTTGAGGATCGCGAGGCCGTCTTGGAATTCGTCGAGCGTGATGACTCCGTTGCCGTCGCGGTCCAGCGCATGGAAGAGCGCTTCGATGCGGTATCGGTGCCGATAAAGCGAGTTGAATGCCTGGCGCTTTGCTGGCGTTGCGGCTGTCGCCGACGACTGGTAGCGGTCGAGGAACGCGATGTACGCCACGTCCCCGTGGTCCACGGATGTCACGAGTGGGAGGAGCTTGGCCCAGTCCAAGCCCATGTGGAGGACATCTTCCATGACACGCTGCCACGTGTCCACAGACACGAGCCCTCTCTTGCTCGCGTCCTCGGCTTCAAACGCCGTGCGCAGCTCGTCCCGATGCGAAAGGATGACCGAGTAGAGGCCGTCGAGGTTGCCGCCAATAAAGTCGTGCTCCGACGCCGTCGCCCGGTACCGGTGGAATGTCGGCGGCTCGGTTGCGTCAGCAGGAAGGTGCATGAAGGCCCCTGCGTTGCCTGTGCGCGTGTAGTTGGAGGCCGAGAAGAGCGTCACGAGCGGCGTCTCCTCGCCAAAGGGCCACGCAAAGCCGTTGGGGACGCACTCGTGCGACCGCACGATGAGCGCGAGCGCGTTGGTCGCGAGGAAGTCTTTGACGAGATCCGGGCCGTACTGGATGCCCGCGCCGCGGAAGCTCTCTTTCCAGCCGCGCTCCGGCTGCGGGTCGCTCCAGAGGATGTCGCAAACCGACTGCATCGCCTGGTCCGTGTGTGACAGCGTCCCTTTCAAAGACCGGTTGGTGTGTTTCGTGCCAAAGAAATCGGCGCGAGGGATGGCGTCCCAGTCGGCAAGGAGCGGGTGCCAGCGCGGAAGGCCGCCGTGCAAGACGAGAACGCGGTCGTCGAGGACCGTCGCGATCTATGCCAAGCAGAGACTTGAGTGCGACACAATGAATGCGTACGATTTACCGGAAGCTGCTGGAAGCAGAGCGAGAAGAGATCGTAAATCTCAACGTCGTACTTGGCCAGGCATTCCTACCCAGGTGCGTGAAGCGCCGCGTGCGCATGAGACATGTTACCTTCTTGAAGCCAAAGCGCTCGTTGACAGACTCGTCCTCGTGATTGCCGCGGTTCAAGAAGACGTGGCGCGGGTAGAGCACAAAGAGGCTCAGCAGAAGAAGCACGACTTCGATCGACGATGCGCCGCGGTCGACAAAGTCACCGTTGAAGATATACGGGTTAGTCGCCGACGGAAGGCCGTTCTCGCGCAGGATCAAGAGCAAATCGTCGAGCTGCCCGTGAAGGTCCCTATTCCATACTTCTGTACGATGCATCTCGCCACATGGAGCCAACCCGATGATGGTAATGTGCTTGGCAGGTGCGATCGATGCGCGCTGCACATTCGGAAGGGCTTGGAGCAGCCGCGTGGCGTCGCCAAGGATCTGAACGACGTACGATCGGTGGAGACTTGCCGCACGCTTAAAGCTCCCGATGAGGCCGTGCACATTCTAGAGGCCATGAGCGTCGACGCACACTAGTGAACTGTGTAGGCCTACCGCAAGCGACAGTGGCTGGTCCAGGTGCACGCCCTTGTACAAGTCGGAAATGTCAATCGGCCCAATGTGCTCGTCGGACGAAATGAGCTTCTGTAGCGTCGGCTTGGCGCTTGCCGTCGTCGTGGAAGCAGGCATGTGGTCATGCAGTGCTTGCAGGAAGCGCGACAGTTGAAGCTACAATGATGTGAGGTACGTTCAGAAGGCGCAGTGCCATGTACCACATCGGCCTCTTCGCGGTTTTCGAGGTCGTTGAAGAGCTAATTGAACGCATAAGGCGGCGGTAGACTAAGGGTGGAAGCACCTTCCACTGTTCGATGATTTCCTCCTGGTCTGGCGGGCTCTCGGGCGTCGCTGTCTCGTTGCTGGGCACGATCTTGTCGGTCGTCTCCTTTGCTTTGTTGGTGACCGGCTTATCGCCAACGGACTTGGACCGCGCTGGCTTGCCTTGCTTGTTGCCCATGCTGCTCGACTGGCGACGGCAAAGTGGATATGACATTTGTTGATGCGTCTACCTGGATTATCCGGATGGCAGTCCCTGCATCTGTCCAGTGATCGTGCACGTGACGCTTAGGTGCGCGAATGCAGAATTCATCCACTTCTTGGTTGAGTATACGGGGAAATACTATGCGCCTGGTCGGCCGGCGATACATTTTCACCGATATAATCCATGGAACTTCAAACTCGCGCATATGGACAAGTGCAGCATTGGTGCACAGGCCCGTGGCACAGGCTTGCAATCAACTCAAATGTCATCATCTTCATTAGTCTTTGGGTTATCCTTTACTTGACACGCGTCCTAGAGAAGCGTCCAAGACCATATTGGTCCAAGACTGCATTACCATTTCGTGGTTTGAACATCTGCGGCGTCTGCCGAATATAACATCTCTGAAGCGGCACGCGTTTCACGCGAAACGACCATCTTATGGCGGCTATTTTCATCGGTCACTGGCCAACGAGAAAGTACAACAACGCCCGAGGCGAGATGGGGGGCGGCTCTTCGACGCAGCAGCGCCAGATGCTGCAGCTTCAGGAAGCACTGCAGGCCAAGGAAGCCGAGGTCGCCAAGCTGCGCGAGCTCACCAAGGAGCTTGACGCCGCCAAGGCCGCCAAGGAAAGCGAAGTCGGACGAGCTGTGCGGACCTCAGTCTCCAACACCGTGTCCATTGACGCGACAAGGTCCCAGAAGAGCCACAAGTCGTTTGCGATCGTGGCATTGCCCAAGCCCGCAGACGCGTCTCCCATGAAGCGGCGCGTCGAAGTGAGTGCCGAGATCATCATGACCAAGAAGGTTGCAGGCTTTGAGAAAACGGTGTTTCCCAAGTCGGACGCGTCGCGCGAGCTCATTCTCAAGGTACGTGGTCGCGTGCGTTCGAAATCATCGATCCAAGCCGGGTCTAGGTCATCCAGCAAAATATCCTCTTCAATGGGCTGTCGCTCGGGGAGCAAAACGACTGCGTCGACGCCTTCATGTGCGTCGAAAAGCCGCCCGGCGTCGAGGTACGGTGCTAACGACAGTGCAGTACCTCGTTCTAAGAAAACTGTGGCTGCAGGTCATCACTCAAGGCGATCAAGGTGACCACTTTTACGTCGTTCAGTCTGGTGCGCTGACGAGGAAAACCAGCTCACTGAATAATTGCGTTTCTGTTTTGTAGGCACACTCGACATTCTCGTGTCGCTCAAAGGCAACGCGCCCATCAAATTTGGTCAAATGGCGCCTGGCATGGGCTTTGGCGAGTTGGCGCTTCTCTGCAACACACCGCGCGCAGCGACGATCAAGTCGACGACGCCTGTTGTGCTCTGGGCGCTTGACCGTCTCGTTTTCCGCAACATCTGCACGTACCACGAGAGCATTCGACACGAGAAGGCGTTCCAGTTTCTGCGCCAAGTGTCGGTCTTTGACAAGCTTTCGTCGGCCGAGCTCACGCGCGTGGCAGCGGCGATGCAGTGGGAAGAGTACTCGCCTGACACGGTGCTATTGCGCGAAGGCGAAGTCGGCGACTACTTTTACCTCATCACGTCCGGCGAGGTGTGCGTGAGTAAGCGCAGCGCTGAGACGCAAGACGACGAGGTGCTGCGGTACCTCACCGTCGGCGAGCATTTTGGCGAAATGGCGCTCTTCAAGGACGAGACGCGATCGGCAACGTGCACGAGCACCTCGGCAGTGCAGCTATTGACGCTTGCACGGGAGCACTTTTGCGCGCTCCTCGGGTCTCTTCAGGTCGACTACGCTCCCTCAGAGAGGGACGACGCTGATAATGGTGTAGGAACTTATGGAGCGCTCCGAGCAACCACAGGCACCGCCGAAAAAGAACTCGCTCGCAGTCGAAAGCCGGTCGTCAATCAAGTACGCGGTCGACGTCGAACTCGCGGATCTCGAGATCATGCAGACGCTGGGGAGCGGTGCATTCGGGCGCGTCAAGCTTGTGCAACATCGCCCGTCGCACCAGACCTTTGCGCTCAAGTGCCTCGTCAAGTCGCATATTGTGTCCAACAACCTCAAGGAGCACGTCGTGAATGAGAAGCGCGTCATGATGATGCTTGACCACCCGTTCATTCTCAAGCTCCACCACACGTACAAGGACGCTATGTACGTGTACTTTCTTCTCGAGCTCGCGCTTGGCGGCGAGCTGTTTACGTTTTTGCGCCGGCGCGAAAAGTTTGATGAGGCCAGTGCGCGTTTCTACATCGCGTCCGTTGTACTCGCGTTCGAGCACATGCACACCAAGGCGATTGCATACCGCGATCTCAAGCCCGAGAACCTCATTCTCGACGCGCGCGGGTTCCTAAAAGTATCAACCTATCAATGTGATTGTGTCGCCTGATGCAACTGTTTAGGTCGTGGACTTTGGTCTTGCGAAAGTCGTGAACGACCGAACGTGGACGCTTTGTGGGACACCAGACTACTTGGCTCCCGAGATCATTCTCAATCGCGGCCACGACAAGGCTGTCGACTATTGGGCGCTGGGAATTCTCATCTACGAGCTCATTGCTGGCACCGTGCCGTTCTACGCTGACGACCCCATGCAAGTCTACTCGCTCGTGCTCACGGGCAACATCAAATTTCCCGTCACATTTGGGTACTCTTCACAGTTAGGTGGGATCCAATCTTATGCACTGGTAGCCGTACGAGCGTCGACCTGATCCAGAAACTACTGACGCAAAACCCGGTCCGGCGGCTTGGAAACTTGAAACACGGAGTCCACGACATCATGAACCACCGGTGGTTCTCGGGATACGACTGGGACGGTCTCCTAAAGCAACGACTCACGCCGCCGATCGTGCCGCAGCTCAAGTCCAACGTTGACGCGTCGTACTTTGAGCGAATAGGCGAAGAGAATTTTGAAGCCGAGCCCTGTAGTTGGGACCCCGACTTTTAGAGTAGAGAGGCAGATGTGCGTAGACAGAAAACGAAATATAGCTGAATCATGTGTTGCGTCGTCCTTTTTGTGCAGCTCTCTTGGCTACTTAACGCCGTGGTTTCTAAAGCTAAGCGTATTATTCATCGAAATGATGATGCTGGACGCATGCAGCGTTTTACGAGAGCTTGGCATGCACTAGTACAGTACAGTACTATCCAACCTAGTGCATAATCTACTGTCATTTAGTGAGGTGTGTGCGGTGTAGTCATTCTGCAAAGCGTTTACATTGCTGAATTTGAACAGCATTTTCACGCACCACTGACAGACAATATAGGGTTTGCAAATCAAAGTGCACATAAATGTTTCGTCTTGGACAATATTACTACCCTAGATCGGCACCAGCAGATAGCTTGCGGTATTTCTGTAAGAGCTCGGCAACACTTGCATCGGTAGGGACATTCAGCAGACTCTCAGTGCGCACTTTCGTTGGGTGGTGCTGTCGGTTGTTGAAACCTCGCTCCTAATACGTTATTGCATCACATATCCGGAGACGACGCGACGAGCACTCACGAGCTCCAGCAGCTTCGAAGCAGCCGTGTCGAGGCTGTCCAGAGTCTCCACCAAGGGCGGTGCCGGCGCTGGCTTGGGCTTTGGCGGGTGAAGCAGTGAGCGCAAGGCGGCAGCCGGCATGCCGACGTTACTGGATGGTAGTTTTGGTGCCGCACTTCTTTCTGCCGATACATTCAGCCGGAGCGATCCCGGGTCGAAATGGCGCGACGCAGACTAGCTTTACGTTGGGATATCATTCTGCCTTGTACAGCAAGTACCTGAGGACGGTGACCAAAGGTCACTATGGGCTTTTTTGTCGGCACGTCAAGGAGTCTACGTAGCGCTTAGCCTTCTGCAGATCGAAATGACCGCAAACGTAGGGTTTGTGTCAGCGCTGCTCAGCCGCACAGTGACAGCGCCACCGTACGCAGGAAAGAGTACGGTCTTGACTTGTGCGCTTCCTCGGTTCTAGCGAGCATGTTAACTCGATACTGCGGACATTGAACAAGATACATCTGAGTGGTTGCGTGGGTGTGCTTTCCGAGGCGAGGGCGGCGGTGCATGCAGTTGCGGGTTCTATCTCGTATTATGACCCGCATGAATGTGAAAGCTGTCCAGTACCTTGTTGAAGCGGGCGAGGCTGCTGGCGTCTGCTACCTGGCGCTCGGCGCAAAATGGGTTGTCATTGTCAGCTCGAGGTATTCGCAGACGCTTCTTGGAGAGCGTTGAGAGAGCCTGTGGTGCTCGACGCATCGCGTGGAGCTCCGTAAGCATGCGTTGCTCCCGCTCGATCTCTGCGTCCGTCAAAACCATCGCCTGCTCGTCTAAAATTAGCTGTTGCAAAATGTCGCCAACCAAGCCTTGCCCACCAGCAATGTCGCCGACCAAGCCAATGACACCGACAACCAAGACGCCGGTACGTGGCTCCATCCAAGAAAAACTCTCCGTTATCTCACAATGCCTAGCAGAAGGCTCTCGACCGCAGCGTGCGCACGCGGAGCCAGTTTCACATCACGTTCCCGTCGAAAGCGTTCCTAGACTTGGAGACGCCAGAGCCGGTAGACAACGGATCCGCGTACCCGTACATTCGTGTGCTAGAAAGACTAGGTGGCGCGAACGGGCTGGGGGAGCCCGAATGCAATCCCCTATCGCCCGCTAGGGAAGCCTGATCTACACATGAAATTGTCCCCAAATTTGCGCTCGCCCCATGTGCTCAATGAAAGCCAGCACACCCCGACGAAGAGCGCAGAGCTTCGAGCAGAGGCTTCGTATGGCATTCCTGCACCTGGTCGAAATCGTAACAGGTCGTATGTAGGACCCACTACAAGCTCGACTTTTCCAAAGAAAAGGGGGACTGCTACGCCTTGCCGCAGTACTCGCCAAGTCACATCATTCATCTACAGTGCCCGCACCGCTCGACGCACGACCCATCGTTCGCAATGCTCACACAAGCTATTCACGAAGGAACTGCGCGTCGCTGCTGCGTTAAGTACGGCGCGTCTGTTTTTAGCCATGCCATCGTGCCCAAGTATGTTTGCCACTACCCACAGAACGCAAATGTGCTGCTGTAGAACGCCGAGCGACGTCGAGCGAACGACAAGCCAGGGTGAGGCGATGCCGTACCTGCCATACACGACGCGAAAGCCTCAGGTACCGTCGGTGCCACAGCTGCCATCGTTTCTCGAGTTTCGGGCCAAAACCGAGTCAGAAGCACATACACTGACCAAGAGCCATGCAATGAGTGCGTCGCAAGCAATGCTCGAGAATACTACACTCTCAAAGGCCAGCGGCACAAGCTTGAGTCTCCCAAACGAACCTCCTCGGCGTTCCACATATGTGGCCGACCTCGCGCAGTCGCTGGACAGCTTGGTGCCAACTACGTCGGGACTGGGGGCGAGCGCGAGCAAGTCCAGCTTGAACTCGTTTGTGGCACTGCACTTGCTGGGCCGAGATCATAACAACACGGGAAGCAACCCGATACCCACCCATGGAAACAATGATAACCGATCGCCACACGGCGTTGAGCGACTTCAGGACATCGTGCGAGCCCGCGAGCGCACCAAGCAAGTGTTTTCGCAGCAGCTTCTCGTCCTTCTTCGTGCGCTTGCCAACGATCGTTGGCAAAACTTTTGCCTCAAGTTTACACACTTCAAGCTCCAGCGCGACCTGCCGGGTGATCTCTTTGCGATGCGCGAGCGTGCTGAAGCCGACCGCCAAGATCGCATCCACGTCGCCGTCGAGGACTCGACATGGTTCACGGGCTATCTCTCACTGGTGCTCAAGTTTACACCCACCGGCTCTTCGCCAGCTCCAGCGCTTCTTTTTCTCGCCAATAGCATTCGAGATGTACAGCTCTTGTACTACGTTCACTGTCATCGACGTTGAGATAGAGTGTGAACCAAGGCCACGAGTTCCAACCCGGTCTCCTCCTGGGTCTCGTGCTTTGCCTCTACGAGGACGAGCTCGAAGCGGACGCGACACAGGTGCATTGCTGCGCATTTGGTGGAGATGACAAGAGTGTTATTTGCGTCGGTCCTTAGACGGCGCTAAAGTTTCTGCGGTCGGCTGCGGGTGTACCCCTGGGCGACTGGGAGCGCTTCTTTGAGAGTGCGAACTTGCCACCACCTATCGAGGTCGTCAACCAACGTCGGGTTAGAGAGACACGAACTGCAGCGTCGCTGACTCGAATTGGCTTAGGTCGACTCGCAAGGCAAGGGCAAGCACATGCGCATGAAGAACTTGGTGAAGACAGCGGGCATGATGTCCCACCTCAAAAGCCCAGTGACGAGCGAAGACTAGGATGGGCCAGCGAAACAACAATGATTGGTTGAGTGTGCGTGGGCTTTGCAACGAACGGGCGGATTTAAGTTATCGCGTTGGTGCTCGTGTATTATTACCGGACAACCATTGCCTCGATTTCGTCGTCGAGCATGCGGGCGACAAGGAGCATATATAGCTTCTCGATTTTAGGATCAGCGTCCAAGAGCGCGTTTCGGGTGGTGTCCGAGTCGGCAGGCGTCGGTGGGTCGCTGCTGGGGCGGCGGCCAAACATATCTTGGACGTCTGCGTGGAAGAAAGTACTCGAGAGCGTCTCCCACGACTGTAAATGGAGGCTACCCTGCTTCGGGCTTCCAATCGGACTCGTCACGCCCAGCGGTGCGTCGCTAAAGGGATCAAAGGAGGCCCAAAACCCTGGCGGCGACAAGAGGGTGTGCGCCTCGTCCGGCGGCGCACCGATGTCAATGGACAGATTGGGCTTTCCGTTGGCCTTGCGCTGAAGTGTGTTGCGTGGACTCGGCTTGGGCGAGCACGCCTGGCGCAATGCCTCTTGGCACAAGAGCTCAAGGCGCGATGGAGCGTCGAGGTCTTCACGGCACATAAAGCGCACCAAATCGTACAAAATCACGCGGCGCCGAACACCCTTTTCGACAAGCATGCCTGCGATCTTCAAATTCCTAAACAGTTCGAGTTGTTAGCGCTCGATTACAAGCGCGATGGTACCGTCGGCAAGGCGACCGCAGCGGGATCTGCGCACAGAGCCGCTGAATCTCTTGGTCGACGTTAATGCCAAGAATGTACTGCCGGTCTTCCTCGCTTAGTGGCACCTACCGAATTTGTTCATGTCGTAGCTGTGAAAATAATCGAATCGTGTACCTTTAGCTGCGGCCAGTTGTACCAGCACCAGTCGCACCACGCAATCTACGAGCCGAGCATCGTCCCTGGCTCGCAGTGCCATCGCGTGCTTACCTCCATGTAGTCGGGGAGGCTGTACCCGTGGTCAATCGGAATCAGCTCGTGCTCCACGTCGCCGTTGGCGTTTCGGCGCTTCCGCACGAGGATGTTAGCGTCGTTTCGATCCGTATTTACAATGCTACGACGTATGATGTAGCGAAACAGAAAGGTACGAAGCACACGCACCGCATGTCGAGCAGCACGATTTTGTGCACTTGGTGCGCGGAGAACATGGACGGCGAGAGGTCCGAGACCACGTCGTCGTGACGCACAAACTCCTACGACAACAGCGATCAGATCGGACCGTCCTTGGAGAAGTACGCACCTGGAGTGACCCCATCTTGTACACGACTTCGGCTTCACCATAGCGAAACGCTGGCGACGTGGTGAGTAACCAGGTTCACGTACTCTAGCAACGGACCTGGGTGCTTGATCTCAGTCAGAGTGGTCGCTGGAACTCCGGCAAAGTGGTCCTAAGCATGTCCGCACGTTAGTATGTCTGGTAATCCGAACGGAGCACCTTGTCGAGAAAGTAAGCGGCAACTTCCCGCTCGCACGCCTCACCCGAGAGAACGCCTTTGCGGAAACCCGACTCGCCAAGCGCTGCAACGAAACCACGGGGATTCATGGGCGCAAACGGCTCTTCGTTTTGGGGTTTGAAGCAGCAGACTTTGCGCTGGGTCGGGTCTTTGAGGAAGTACGTGCCACCTGTGCCATCCATGGCGAGTTCAGGCACGAGACCAAGCGCTAGGCCCTGCATCGCGAGGTGCGCAGCCTTCATGATCGTTTTGGGGAACACGTGGTTGCCGTACGGGTGGATCGTGAAGACATTTTTCTGCTTCTTGCGCGCGTTGGCCGAGACGACGAGATGGACGACGACCTTGTCCTGGTAAATGCCGCACTGCATCAGGTTCCGCACGTTGTTGAGCTCCGTGCCCTTGAAATAAAGCTGCTGCGCCGAGGTCGGGATGTTGAGCATGGCCTGGAGCTGATCCTTCATGTCCTTGACGCACGCCCACGGTTTGAGCACGAGTTTGATCTAGTACCGGATGTACGTCCATGAAGTCGCCACGGCGCTGCAACTGTGTACCTTGCGATCGCGGGGATCGTTAATCCCTATCTGCACAAAGACGCTGACGCTGCCAAGGTCGTCGCTGTTGAAGCCACCAGGGTCCGAGTGCCTAGGCGCACAAGACGTGAGCGAAATGGGCACCATCGTAGCGCAGACGCACCAGTCGGCCACAGGGTGCGACGACGCCTTCACCTTGAGCTGCGCCACGCGAAGGGACATGTGAGATCGAGGAAGAGAGTCGCCGCAAGGGTCAAAGCTCGTCGTCGGGTTGCCGGTTCGGCCGCTGCGGGGTCCTCCGTCGAATCGAAGAGTAATGGGCCCCATCGCCTTCTCTTCATGTTTCTATACGCAACACCAAGATATCGCTGACGGGGGTCCCCCCTCCTTGAATGCCGTCGATTGGCCAATATTCTGTGACGATGCTTCGAGAAGCCCAATCAGCATGCACTATTGTTGGAACCATCACTCCGCGTCGCCGCCGGAGTGCTGGTGGAAAGAGCCCGGCCACACGCTTTTTTGCGGTGCTTCGTGGCGCGCTTGTGGTTGATGCGACTCTTCCTGCAGACCACTAGAGCACATTGCTATTGGACGAGACGAAGAGAACATGAACGCGAAGCAACTCGAGCTGCTCGTGACGGATGACGCTGACTACCAGTATGTCCTGACCAACTGGTCGAGCGACTACATGGACGATCTTGTACACCACGCCAACGACGCGGAAGTGGCCAAATTCTTGGCAAACCGGTTTCCGCACCCCTACACCAGCGACAACGCAATGAGCTTTCTCGCGTATGCCTCCAGTACGGCAACGGAGCGCCTCTTTGCAATTGTTCGCCAGCACAAGGTGTCGGGCACGCGTGAAGCCATTGGCGGTATTGGCATGGACGTCAAAAGCGACGTTCAAGAACACTCGGGCGAGGTCGGCTACTGGCTCGGAAAGAGCTTCTGGGGTCGCGGCCTCATGACGCACGTCGTCGCGACGTTTCTCGACGGGTTTGTGGAGGTGTACCTACGAACGCACGCACCCGTGCCCCTCTCGCGCCTCTTTGCGGTCGTCTACGCGCCCAACACGGGCTCGGTCCGCGTCCTCGAGAAGAACGGGTTCCAGATCGAGGGACGCTTGCGCCGGTATGCTTACAAGAATGGCGAGTACCTCGACGCGTTCCTTCTCGGGCGCGTCTACGAGTTGTAAACTGCAATCGGAATATCTCAGTAATGACGCGCACGTTCACTCTATTGCTTATATAGTTGTGATGCGCCACGCTCAGATGAGCTTGCCGAGCTTGGCCTTGCGCTGGACGGACGTCACAGCGTGGAAGACACCCGCGTCGACGAGGCCGAGGACTGTGTAAACGCCGCCGACAATCGCGCAGAGGGACGTGAGAAAGCGGAAGAAGGGCATACTTTGCGTATAGAGCTCAATCACGAGCGGCGACGAGTCGTACGTGAAGAGAGCCGCAGGCACTTGGTTGGTCGCGTTGTACTGGTTGCTGCTGGCAGAGAATTCGTACATGCGCTCCGGAATCTGGTGCAAGAACGAGATTGTGTCCATGTGGTCAACACCAACAATCTAGAACAAGCTATGAGATCAGATCACGTAAGCGAATGCGGACCTTGATATAGTGCTCGATGGTAATGTTGCTGTCGAGCGCGCGGTAGTGCTTCGCGTCCATCGGGTAATGCGTCGAAAGCACAGCGCGCGGGTTGTTCATGCGCTGCTCCGTCGACTTCCACTGCCCAAACGAGAAATGGTTGATCTATCGTCGGGCGTGAGCAGAGACCATCCTTGTCCGTGTTGGTACCGTGTGCGTGACGTTGATGTCGCGCATGTCGAAAGACTGGTCCCCAGAGTACGGGTACAAGACGAGCTTCCCGGGTACGCGTTGAACTGCGATCGAGCCTGAAAGCTCGCAGCCTTCGTGGTCGTGGTCGTGCTCCTCGTTTTGCGGTGCCGCCAAGCGCAAGAGGTCGCCAAATTCGGGGATCACCTCCTCGGCAAAGTCGCCGTCCGGGTTCAAGCGTCGGTAAAAGAGGTCCAAAAACAGAAGCAGCGATTCGGCGTTCCGAGGGCCGTTGTAAATGTACCGCGTGAACGTGTGGCCGTACATGTAGATCATCATGGACGGAAAGGCGTGGATGCGGGCGCGGCGGCAGAGGCTAACGGCGTTGTCCTGGGTGCAGTCGACACGCGCCATCGTAACGCGCTCGCTGTACTCGGGGTGGTCCTGCAGTTGAAGTGCAGTTTGTTCCCAAATCGGCAGCAGCGCCTGAGAGAACGGGCACCACGGGGCGTAGTAGTTGACGAGCACGAGTTCATACTTGCTACAACAGAAAATCAATCACGACGAGTTCCGTTCCGGCGTGGGAGCGACGTACGCCATGAATTCGTCGAACGTGGCGTCGTTGAGACTCGGGGTGACTGTCTCGCCGTCATGGAGCTCGTGGGTTACAGCACCCCAGCGCTGAACGGAGCTAGGATCGGCCATGAGAACTTCTTCACCGCGCACAGTGCTGCCGCCTTCGTCAGTAAGTTCGAAGCGACGGATGTGACGCGTGATGTTGGCGAAGCGCTGGCCCATGTGGTCCGACACGTCCACAGAGACGTGATGGCACGGGATCGACGTCAGTGAGATGTTGAAGTTGATGCGCAAGAGATCTTCCTGGTGCGAATCCATGACTACCCGCGAAACGGTGCGCGACGACGACGCGAGGTATGCTGCATACTCGGCAACGATGAGGTAGAACATGACAACGACGGTCGTGATCGTGAAGAAGGTGCTCGTGCCTGACGACGTCTGGAGGTCTTCGGGGATCTTCCTACACATGTTCACCGTCAACCTCGTTGTTCCCACGCCATGAGGCCATCGTCACCGGAAGAAGTCGAAGCGGGGAGCCATCGTGGAACCGGCGGTGTGGAATTGACTCTGCGAGCACACCTGAGTTTTAATGCCACGTCTCTCTTAAATTATTGGGTATCATATACATGTTTGTATGTGTATTTGGTTTTTGTTTTGAATGAAGGCGTGTTACTTCGCGCGACGGAAATGGACCAATCCCATCGCGCCAAATTGCACCAATCGCGAGTGACCATGCAATAAGATTTCAGCGAGGACATCATCACACTTTCAACGTGTACCAGCCGTGCAAAAGCGGGCCTCATATGCCAGACCTTCAGTAGAAGAAGAGTAGAGGGGCGCGTGTTGCCCACACGCCGTCGACACACGCGACTAGCCGTTGTCTACTGGTAGTAAGGAGGTGTGCGAATCGCACAAGTGACCGAATGCGCTGTGCAATCATTCAGAATTAACATTTTCGGTTGATCCCGCTTCAGCGAGTCCGTTGGCGCCTCTGGTATCGGTATGACATTTTTATCGATGTTAGACAGACTTCTATAGCTTTTGCGCTCTGAGGGTTTGCACGTGGCACAGTGCGAGTCAGTCGAAAGGCCACGTCTGATTCGCTCTTGAAATGTCGTGCGTGGATTGGTTCGTTCCAGCAGAATTCGGCAAAAGCCTAATTAGGCATATGTTCCACGTGGTCTGCGGCGCGTCCATTTGGGAAAACTAAGTCGTCGGTGTGGCAGCAGCAGCTCGTAACCCCGCCAGCTAAACTTAGCACCACTCCTGATCGCGACTGATGAAGTTGTACTTGCTCCTTGCAGCGGCCGCTGGCGCCGTGAGCGCGACGCCCGCCCATACTTTCGATCCCGCAACGAAGACCGAGTGGCGCCCGAGCGTTGGTCAAACGCCCGGCCTCAAGGTACCCATCGCAGACCAGCAGCGACTGCTGCAATCGGCCATCAATCAGTTCTACGGCAACGGCTCGGCCCCGTCGAATGGAAGTCTGTCTGACGTCGAGGTCGCGTCCAAGACGGGGCTTGCTCGGGCGACGTTCCTCATGGGCATCGCGCATTCCACGGGTCTCTGGGGTGTCGACCGGCATGACGCGAAAGCAGCGGTTGAGCTCTACTTCGCTGCGACCGGCGGTGACATCGCCGCATCCATGGCGATGGGTTACAAGCACATGGTCGGTGCCGGCGTGCCGAAGAACTGCGAGACGGCTCTACGATACTACGAAGTTGCGGCCAATCGTGCCGTGGAACTGCGCGAGAGCGAAGATTCGTTGAGTCCTGTTCTTCACGACCAGCGCCACAAGCGCTTGAAGACCGTGGCGGAAAGCAATCAGAAGCGCAGCGCTCCAGGTGACGAAGACGTATGCAAGATTGTCCTTGTAACCTCGTCTCTCATATCGTTGTAGGTCGTCGAGTATTACCGGTTCTCGTCTGAAAAAGGTGACGCTGAAGCGACACTCAATCTTGCGTTGCTCTACTATTATGGCGCACGGGGCGTGGCGCAGGACGTGCGCAAGGCCGCGGTCTACTTTCACCGAGCCCACGAATTTGTTCGTTCTTTCCGCTTGTCGTCCGCATCTCAGCTGTCTGTAATAGGGCGCGACATCGTCAGCAGCCAACCTTGGTCATATGTACGCCAACGGGATCGGCGTCGCTGTCGACATGAAGCGGGCTTTCGACTACTTCCAAGAATCGTCCCACGAAGGCAATGCGGCGGCACAGAATGGACTTGCGACGATGTATCTCCGGGGGCAGGGCGTTGTTCAAAACAAGAGGTACTTCGCCGTCCGCTATTCGCGTCGTATACATCTCGCTCTGTAGCAAGGCTATCATGCTCTTCCGGACAGCGGCCAAGCAGGGCAACGCAGATGCCTTCTACAACCTCGGCGTGCTCAGTCTTCAGGGCGAGCTCCAAGCCGACGGGTCTCCAGAGTATGAGACGGCGTTTGGGTACTTCCACGTCGCGGCACAGCATGGCCACACGCTTAGCATGCATAAAGTGGCACACGTATGCAGACTCAACACAGCTAGAAATTGTCGCCTCATGGTTCTGGTGTAGATGACGACACATGGCATTGGCACGACGCGATCGTGCAAGTCTGCTGTCGACTATATGAAGCTTGTGGCCGAGCGTGGCGCCTGGGACCACGAGCTCCGCAGCGCGTACCGCGCGTACGTTGCGGTACGCCGAGGCATCCCCATAATTGACACTCATTGTATGAGACCTACAAAGGGCGACTACACTCAAGCATTCCGCAAATACGTCGTCATGGCCGAGCAAGGCTACGAGGTCGCGCAGCACAACGCGGCATACCTCCTTGAGCACCAGCTGGGCATGTCACCCGCCGTGGCGTTGGGTGACCAGACGATCCGCATGTACAAGGCGGCTGCGGGCCAGGTACATTGCTATACATCCTCGCCTTGGCGAGAACATGCTTGACGCTCAGAGTAGGGAAACGTCGACGCGAACTTGAAGCTCGGAGACTTTTACTACTATGGATACGGCACCACGGCGCCGAACTACGTGCGCGCAATGGCTCACTACGCGATGGCCGCGAACCGAAACGCACAAGCGAGCTTCAACCTTGGGTACATGTACGAGCACGGAATTGGGTCGAGCCAGGACTTTTTGCTCGCAAAGCGCTACTACGACCTCGCCAAAGAGATCCACAGCGACGCGTATGTGCCCGTCACGCTTGCTCTCTACAAGATGTCGTGGCACGAGACGCTCCTGCCCTACCAGGACGTACGGGGCCTTGCCGTCCTACGCTCGAATCTCACGAATCTTTGTAGATGGAGCACGACGAGCTCGTCGAGACGTTGGCGACGCAGCTCACGGAAATGCTGACGGTGGACTGGGGGGCAATGGGTGCAACCATGCTCGGGTCGATCGTGTCCGTATTGAGGTTTCTCTCGGGCCTAGATATGGTGCTCTTGCTCTTGCACGCAGATGTCGTGCCGGCGACGGACACCATCGTCATGCTCGCGCTCCTCGCCGCTCTTGGCATCGTCTGGACGATTCGCCACCGGCGGCGGCAGGCGCGTTTCGCCGCGAACGCTTAAAGCCCCACGACGTAATCGCTCCGACTAACTTCACGTGTGTGTTCATCATGGACGTGTCCTCTCTATGGGCTGCTTCCGGCATTGTCTTCATCGACAGAGATACACAAATGTTAGTAGGAAAAGGGTGTTATTAAATATGGGCGACGGACGCTTAACTATGCAGCGAGCTCCTTTCGACGCTCGAGCAGAAAGTGTCGGAGAAAGTCAACGCTCGCCTTGGACGCAGCGACAGCAACCATCGGGTTGGGCGTGTCGAGACGGATGAGGTTGGGTGCGAGAATAATCGAGAGCTGCTCAATGCCCATGTGGTTGCTCTTCTCGG